AAAATCAGAACAATCTTACTGAAATTTAATATGAAATTAGAAGCCATAGCAAACGAAGAAAATCTTGATATACTTTGATTTTTCTCTTTATGCTAAGGAGAAGTAGAGATACAGTATCAAGTTTGTTTATTAGTAATGTTCGAAATTTGCATATGCGGTGTGTGTTAATAAAATGAATGTTTGCATTGCTTTTGTTGAAATTTTTTATGTAAATAAAATAAAAATCTGTTCCTTTAGATTTCAATTTAAATTTTTTCTTTGTTAAAAATATGGAAGTTAATCAAAACTTTAATATCGAATTCCTTTTTAGTAATAAGAAAGATTTATTTTTCCATACCTGTAATATTAAAATTAATTAGAAATTGTAAGGTTTCCGTACATTACAAACCAGTCGTGTGTTTATACATACAAATCTTTAAAATTCTATGCAATAGCTACAAAGCTATCATGTCTGTACTGAAATTTCAAAATATGAAAATCAAGAAAATACTCATTTGATAGAATAGTGACTTTCCAGATCTGATTGTGGTGTGAAGTCAAAAACATTAGATTTAATTTCATGATTGGACATAAAAAGATTGCAGAAACGTGTAAGATAATATTTGTCTCATTAAATATAACGAGACCAATCATGTTGCCAAATGCTTTAATGATGAACTCAACAAACTTTTTTCTGTGTATAAAATGACATAAACTATTAAAAGATGCATGATGTTAAATACATCACTATGTTACTCTGAGAAACAGTGTTCTGTTGTAATTTGGAAAAGCAGTGTGGCAAACTATATTTTGAGACACCAATATAAATTGTTACTAAAATTATGTAAAATAATATTTAAAAGGGCATGTTGTTCTTCATGCATTTCTGTAACAGTGGTAAATAGTGTTCTTTTATAATTTGGAAGATCATAGTACCAGATTGTTAATGTACACTGATGCAGAATATTATTCTAGGGGGAGGGCAAATGTGATTTTTTTCTCTGAATAGTGATCAAAAAATTTAAATGTACCTAATGAAATTCGCCCACCAGCGGCTGAGTGGTAACGTCACTGAACACTGGTAGTTCCGAGGTCGAATCCGTGAACGCTAGTGCTGGGTGTTTTCATGATTTCCCCTTTGTAAACGTGTACAAAGCCAGTTTCCCTTAAAAAGTCCTCCACGAAGGCATCCCTCCCTTAAGGCAGATAGCCCTTGAGTGCTTTGCCATAATCTAATAAACCAAACCAAACCTAATGAAATTCAGCATTTCACCTGTGTAGAAGTGGAACATTTATCCATATAATTATTATTAGGCATACTGAAATCGTTATGTACTCTTCCATTTGCATATAATTAACCAATTTTTAAATACCTGTTACTTTCACTTTTCAATTTTAGAAATTGTCGCGTAATGCGTGTGGAAATGTACCCAACAAAATTAATACCAGTGTTGTATAATAAAAGTTTTAACTTTTATAATTGCTTCTAGGTAACAATTAATATTCTTTGAAGACAGTAAAAGTTTGAATTTAAAAAAATTCCGAATTTGATTTCCCCTCCCCCTTTTTCTTTTTCATAGTAAATATTCATGTTGAAACTACTTGGTTGATTTCCTTTCGTGATGATATCTACCAAAATTAATTATTTTCTGAAATTCAGTTTTGTTATTTAAGGTATCTTTCACATGGAAACTGTGCTTTTTCCACCTTCTTAACATGTATACATAGTACTGATTTATTTATTTTTCTCTCAGGATCATTTGGAAATACTAGTGGAGGCACAGGTTTGTTTGGTCAAAATAAACCTGCTACATCATCTGTTTTTGGTGGGTCTGGAACTGGTTTTGGTTCTAGTCTAGGAACAGGTTTTGGTGGATCATCATTTTCAATGGGCTTAGGCTCAAATACAGGAACTGGCTTATTTGGGAACACCAATGCTAATAAAACTTCAGGTTTCAGCTTTGGAAATACAGGTTCAACTGGATTCAGTATGTATCTTGAACTTGAATAGTGTTTGTATTCAGTTATTTTATTTCTTTATTAAATTGTAACTTTTCATTTTATTTTCTAATGTCTAATACTGTATTGACATATGAATAAGAGTAAAAATTGTATGTTAATAAAGATTTCAATTTTTAAGAATTTTCAGTTTAAACTTTAATTTTTCTTTTTATTCTTTTAAATATCTTTAGAGTATGTAATAATTAATTGAAATTAAAAATATTTATATCATTGACATAAAATTTTAGTATTTTTTATTAGGGAAAAAATTTTTGCTTTTTTTAACATTAGTATGTTGGGGAGTAGCAGTAAAAATTTTTAGAATTTGCTCAGTAATTTTTTATCATCATTTCTGTTAATATTTGAAATATAAATTAGCACATTTTGACTGAGTTCTTTTTGTACGAAGATTGGTAACATTTAAGCTCTGTAGCTTTTATGCCAGAATGGTCATCAACTTGTGAAAGGAAAAAAAAAAAAAAAAAAAGCAATAAATAAGTAGAAATTAAAATTAATAAATTCCAGGGAATAGAGGAAAATACATATTAAAGCCAGTAACAGTAAAGGGAAATATAAAGGAATAGAATATGTTTCAGTATCCATAAAAAAAACAATTGTGGTAGGAACTGAGCAATAAATTATCTTAGGCCTTTAATGGGGATTATGTTTAATTATGAATTGTCAGCTTGTAGATTGTAATCCAACAAACATATGGCTTTCTGTAGTATTTAACTATCATCAAATTTTGCATATACACATACACACTAGTGAGTTGAAATATTTTGATTGTTATTCAAATGAAAGCAATTTAATTATAGAAACAGTGCATGTCAACAATATATATAAAAACTTGTTGCTGAACCTTGTTACTGTTTTTAATATTCTTGATGTGGTAAAAGCTTCAGATGTTGGCAAATCATGATGACCAGATCAACTAGTCACAGCAGCCCTCTCTACCCCTAAATAAGAGGGAACTATAGGAATGCTACATGTCATCTGAAAATAATGGTATGAGAAAGGAAAAATTCTAACCTTTCAATAAGATGTCTATATTGTCTGTTTAAATGGAAGCCTTTCACATTTAACCAGGCTTTTGCAAATAGGATAATTAACCAGTCTGACTAACATGTTTTGGGCATAGATTCTTAAAAACCTGTGAATGCAAGTAAAGTTATGTAGGATTCTTGCCAATGTTAAGGTTTTTCACTTTTTTTTTGTGTAATATAAGCTAGTTCCCCCTCCCCAAGCAAATCTTTTGAAGGCAGAGAGCTGTTGTGTTTTTACAATAACCGTTAAGTCTACCGTTAATTAGTCTATATTTTAGAGTATGCCTTGGATTATCGCCAAGTTGTTTCATTTATTGTAGTTGATTGTTAAGTTTAAGTAGTTGATTGTTATGGAAACTCTGTTATGGCGTGTTTCGATGTAATGTGTGATTGCAATGATTTTAGCTGATGGGGAAATATTTCTAAGGGCTTACTTAGGTAATGATGTTGGTTAGGAAGTACATTGCTTATTTTGTGCTTTGCACCGTAAAATGCCTGCTGGTGGTACAATTAACCTGAAGTTTCTGTACATTTTGAAAGGATTGGGAAAGAAAGCATTGATTGACAGGTGTGTAAATGAAGATTTAAATGGCTTCATTCACCTCTCAATAAATTACACAGTGAGATTTAAGGATTTCGAAACCGGAGCTCATATCTACACTATGGAAGGTATGTGGGTGTAATAAAAAGGGATTTTCGAAAGAACTGTTACCGACAGTCTGGCAGTATGGAGGATATTTTTCATTTTTACTTTTGTGAATTAATGGGGAGATGGCAGTATACATATTCTAGTTAAGATAATTTTAAATAGTTTTTGGATGTTGTTAAGGAATTCTGTGTGTCGCACATATAAAAAAAAAAAAAACAAATTTTTAAATAGGTTAAATTGGTATTTCCTTTTTGTATCGCGTAGATTAGATAACATATATTTCCATTCTTGTATTATTTCTTTGTTTGATTTAAAATGCAGTTTATTGATATTATATATCTTTTGTTTTAATTATGTTTTGGACATCATTTTACTGGGGAGACCATTGGACTTACAGAAATGGCACCAAAAAATCACCAATTTTTGCTAAGGGTTACCCTGATATTTTTATCCATTAACCAAATATATAACCTAACGAGTGAGATGTAGATTTTTGGAGATTCTAGCCTGTAAATTTTGTAGATGTATAAAAATTTACTTAAGTGCTTGTATCAAACTTGATTTTTCAGTTTTTGACATACTTTTTTTCCTTTAATTATCAGTCCATAATTTCAAACCAATAATTTTTCTTGCTGTTTCACAAATGCTGTATATCTTTTTTTTTTTTTTTTTTTTCCTTCAGATTTTGGATCCAATCCAAGTTCATCAAATTTTAATTTTGGTGGTGCGTCATCTTTACCATCTGGAAGGTAGTATAAAATATATCTTAAAAAAAATTTTAATTTAAATTTAAAAAAACTTTTTAGCAGTTTCTGGGGTATTCTGTTGTGTTATAGAAGTGTAATTAAATGTAAAACAGTCTGGTTGATCAAGTTAATTTGTTTGAATTTCATATCCTTATTTTCAACCTTTAAGATATGATACGCATTTTTAAAGTACTCATTATACTCATTTTTAAAATTGCTAAATATTGAAACATTAGAAAAGAGTAATATTTTGAAAGTATTCTGCATTTGATTTAGTGTGTTCTATAGGATTATAATAAATGTAAAAATGAAGTTTTTAAAAAAATATTAGGTTGTTGCAGTGTTCATCAGCATTTTATTTTTTAGCAAATGAAATAACTATGTAATATATGTTAGTAAAAGATATTTAAAGATCTTTATTTCAGCTTTTCTTTACATTACTTTAAAATTTAGTTAAGAAATTGCTTCAGGAATTTTATAAGGCTTTTGTTATGAATTGAAAATTAAAATGATTTAGTGCTGTTTCCCTTTTTTCATTATGTCAGGTATCAGTTTGAATGATTTTAGAAACAACCCTCCCACTTTTTTCTACCAGGAGGAGATGTGATAAAGTTTAAATTTTTTTAGCTTGGGATAATAAATAGAAAAAGGGATGTCTTAAATTAGGAAACTTGTTAGTAAGTTTGAATTGCAAATTTTTCTGTCACCAAATCTAAAATATATTATCCTGACGAGAATCTAACAGTGCAGTAATCAGTAATAGATATATTGTTTTGATTGCTAAACAAAATCATAAATTTGAAGCAAATATGAATTTACAGGCTTTCAAAATGGTATCTTTGTCTTAATTTTATTTATTGTTTTTTTCCAAACCTTTTATAAAATCTTTTGAGTATTATCATATTTTAGTTCTTAATGAAATGTTATTAAAGCATAAATAGTAATAAAATAAGTATAAACATAAAGATTAATTCGTTTTCTTTTATGATATGTAAATAATTATAGCTTTTTCCCCCCATTTATCATAGTGATCTTAATAATCCAGCTGTCTTACAACAAGCCCAGCAACAAATTTTGGCAATGACAATTGCCCCTTTTGGAGATTCTCCTCTATTTCGGAATCCAATAAAGGTAAATTGACCAGTTTTTATATCTGATTTCAAAAATCTATAAATGTTTGCTGAAAGAGGACATAAAATATTTAATTTTGAATTACAGGATTCAGCTCGGGAAGCAGAGGTTTTAAAGCCAACTAATCCATCAGCTCAGAAAGCGTTGCTTAATGATAATCATTATAAAGTTGCATTATTACCTACTGCCAAAATGAAGCCTAAACCATGGTCTCCTGTTCATAGTGGCAAGGTATCCTTCATACTTTTTATGACATTTAATTCAGTCTATTCAGAAATTGGTTCATTCATTTTTGCATAGTCTCATAATAATTTAAAAATTAAATATCATTAAAAAATTTACGCTATTGTAAAGTTAATTTGTCAGAATATGTGAGTGTTTTTAAATTATGAAATCCCTTTTGGAAGGAAGTATAATTTCCTCTCCTCTCAGTTTTAATAAGATAATTTTAGACAGATTAAAATACTGAAAACGTACGAATCAGATAATATGTTGAAAATTCTTGAAGTTGTTTGAAAAATATTCATAACATCAGTTAGCTTAATTTGGTACTTCATTTGAATCACAAATAATTTTATGAGATAATTGCAGTAAATATTTTATTTATTTATTTATTTATTTTCCTTTTGCTTTGGTTTTAATTCTTACAAAACATAATTTTAGAAGAGGTACAACCCAATCAAACTCGAAAATTAGCAGAATATAATCATGGTGATCAAAATAATTTTTAAATTATTAAGAAGGATATAGAAGCAATTGTTTTAAATAATGGACTAACTGTAAATAGTATGTAATTAATAACTGAAATGCTGTGATTAATTCTTAATTGCCACCAGTAAACATGTATATGCATGCAAAGAAAAAAGAGCATTTTTCAGATGGTTTAAAATTTGAAATGAAAGTTTTTTTATTGCTGAATTTTAAACTTTATTATGAGTATAGATTATTGCAAACAATTTGACAAATTATTCACATAAGAGTTAATTAGAGAGTGCTGAAAAGAGGTCATATTAAAATTCTGAGTACCCTCGTTGCTTTTAAAAAAGCAGCATATAGAATAAAAATTTTCTTAGATGCAAATATTTTGTTTGTAATAATAATAATTTCATTTCTATAACATTCTTTCTAATTGTCAGACTATTTGGGGTGCGAGAGGCAACACTGCACTCAAGTCGGTTTCTGCCATAATCTGATGCTGGAAAAACTAACATCGCTAGAATAATTTTCTTGATCTGTTGTTGCTTCACTTATGCTGTCAGTATCAGAAATGTTGCTCTCTAACCCTCTAAATTATGTATAAAATTCTTCATAACTCTCCAAAATGGGGGGATGAGTATAATATAGAATAGTATGAGCACATGGCTATTAAAACTACTAACCTTGCCCTCTTTAGACCACTTCATGTAGCTATAAAACCAATCAAAATAAACTTCTTGTGCCATTTTGTGGCCATATGTGTGACTAACTCAATGTAACAAATTTATTTTCATTTTAAATTTATAAGGTATACAAGTATTTTCGTGCACAAGTTAAGAGGTTAACAGCTTGCTTTTCTTTTGTAGGTAAAATAGGAAAAACAATTGATTTCAGATTCAAAAAATCATATTTTGGGGAAGCAAGTAAACAAAATTTTAAGGGAAGTTGCATAAAAAATGCAAGAAATTTTAAGAATAAAATGGAAAATGTGTTGTAAATGATGACAAGTGGCTTAGCTAAAATGTCATACGTGTAATTTTTTATCTTTGATTTGTCTGATTATCTAATGATTTTGAAAATCATTTAATGAGAGGGAAATTTGAATTTTCATATTATTTCTGTTGATATTTTGTAGCTGCCAACCATACCAGATTTGCTGAAAACTCCTAGTTTTTTTAGCTACATCTCCTAATTTTTAATTCTTTGCCTTTAGTAAGGAAAGTCTTTTTCAAAATTAAATTGGATTTATGAAACTAAAGTGCACGAATTTCATTTCCTGATGCATAGTAATTTGCAGCATAATTTTTCATTTTAAATTTTATTTCATCTAAATTTTTTTAGTTCTACAAATTACTGTCTAATTATAGTATTTGTACAAATGTTCTAAAATTTTTTGTTTTCTAACTATTTAGGTATTTGTAGAATTTTTTTATAAAAATTCAACTAATTTTTATTATATTTGTTTTTGGTTTAGTTTTAAGTCAGTATAGGATACATTGCTAAGTTTATCTACACATTAATACGTACAGGGTAGCATCAGCAGCTAAAACTAAATAGAATGAAACAAAATTTCATATACAGTCTGTGGAAGGCATGGAGAGATGATTTCAAAAATAATAATAAATAAGTACCGAAAGTTATTGTTTGGAGAGATTTTGGCATTGTCAGAACTGAAAATATGTCAGTAATGAGTACATCAAAAAGGATTACACAAAATATCATTAATTCTTCAGTAATAAAAAATGCACATATGGAAATAAGTGACATGCTGTACTAAACTCATGGGGAAAAACTCTTTTATTAATGAACATTAGGATACCCTGGACTACGTGCAACATTTTCGAACTTTCTGACTTTACTTGTGCATAAGATATTGCATGCAGTGTACCGTGTTCTCTGTTGCTGGAGGTAAGATGTCAGTTTGGATATTTGTAGCAGTACATCTTATGTTTGCTTTCAAAGAACTTAAGTTTGTAATGCCACTAATATATACAACAGATTTAAAGTACTTCCACAACCAAAATTCACGTCGGGTGAGTCTGGGGAACAAGGCTGTCATTCCACTGGAAATTTTTGGCTAATTACCTAAATGCTCAAGTAAAAGGTTCTGTACTGAACAAAGAATATGTTGTGACCATGCTCCATCTTGCATAAAAATTGCTGAGTCCGAGCACCGTATTTGCTGCAGTTCAAGAAGGACAAAAGTTCTCAGCATTTGTGAATATTCCTTACTGGTGGTTATGCAGGTAACACGACCTGTAGGAGTGGTATGCTCATAAAAGTATTTTCTTATTGCAAAATCAGCCATGAATACAGATCACAAAGCTACTTTTGCACCATACAAAAGTAGCAATGTGATTGTAGTGAGACTTGATCGAACCATTTAGATAAAAATGAGCCTCATCTCCCCGCAGTATATTCTATGGCCAGTAATTATTGATTTCCATTTAGCATGAAAGTCAGATGCTTACCATAATCTGGTATTCTTAGTTCTTGCACACTACTAATCTTATATGGATAGAAATGCAGCATTTTCCGTGAGATTTTCCCAACAGTAACATAAGGCATATCAGTTAGGTGAATTGTTGCACCAGCACATGGACCACTGCTAGTCCTTGTATCATCGAATGCTACAGTGGCAGGATCTGTTATTGTGTTGCCTACTACTGTTTTTCGTCCTCTGCCAGCCTGAGTGCTAAATGATCCAATTTCTTTCTCTCTCTCTCTCTCTCTCTTTTTTTTTTTTTTTTCCCTCATGCCTCTTGGTGCTATAAGAGACACTGAACTGAACCTTTAAGTTGATTATTAAGACTTCTAAATTCCCTAAGAGCTGCAGCAACATTAGACTTCCTATTGTAAAATAGCTTCATGAGTAAAGCACACTACGTGCCTGTGTTACAACAGTGCCAATATTTCTTCTGCCTTTTGTTACTAATTCTTTTTTTTCCATGGAATATATCTCTCCATGCCTTCTGCTGTCTGTATATGAAATTTGGTGTCATCCCATTCATTAGTTGTAACTGCAGATGCCTTCAGACAGGGAAAGTTATTTTATAATCATTCTGTACATTGGTTAATTTTATTTTCATCATGTTTAAAAAGTCTTTGAAGACTTTTTAAACATGATGAAAATAAAAATGTGAAATATCCCATATTATGAATCACTTTTGGTCTGAGATGTGATTTAGGGGTGGTAGTAAAGTAGTAGTGTACTCTACAATTTTATTCTACGGTCACCGACCTTCATCTCTGAAAAGCATTAACCCTAAAAAAGATATACTGGATAGATACGTCCCAGATCTAATTTAATTAGATATTCTACATTTTTTGATAATTACATATTACTAAAAATAGAAAGTAAGTATACTATATGTTTATAGGGAATCAGAATGCTTGGGACGTATCTACCCTGATTAACAGTGATGATATCTTATAATATAAATGTATACTGATTATCAGTGGTGATATTTCTATCTGTACTTAGGATTTACTTAACATAAAAGTTTTTAAAAAAATACAAAAAGGAATTTTACCAAAGAATGTAAAATTTAGAATATCTAATTAAATATATATATATATTATATTAGAGTCATATAAGTAATTGAATAATCTGAATTTTAAATTATGAAATTCTCGTAAAAGTATTTTCTTATTGCAAAATCAGCCATGAATACAAATCACAAAGCTACTTTTGCAAAGCTGCAAGTCAATTTAGACTTTCTTTAAGTGGTGCCACTGCACATCAAGAAAACCTCCCAGAAACTCCTGATTTTTTATATTTCATAGATGGCAGTTATGATTTTTAAATCCTTTATTAGTTGCGGAATTTGTTAAAGAAACTCGTTATGTCTTGATTCTCAATAAAAATGCAATGTTCATAAAATGATGTCTTATCAGATGAACTGTGGTATCAAAATAGTACTTAGCAGAAACATTGGCATAAGCAGAAGTTCAAGACATCTGCAACCAACTCCCAATTAACAAAATAATGCTCGGGATAACATCCATGGTTAATCTGAGTGCAGTTAAAGAAACACGAGAAGGAGGAAATGACCCATTGACAATTTATTTATATTTTTAAGCAGTTTAATCTGGCAAGAAAATTACTTGGTTATGTAAAATATTAAAAAATAATAATAAATATTCAAAAAGAAAAGGGGGTAATGGGTAATAAAATGCAAAAGAATAAATGTCACTAACAATGAAGAAACTTCAGTTATAAATGGCAATATAGAAATTTAATGAGCAGAAGATTGATGACTATAGCATTAGACATTTTTGTTTTACACTAATGTTTTGCGGCATTAATTTTCCCATCTTCTTCCAGTAAATTTCTCTTATTTTAAAAAAAGCTGGGACATGGTTTATTCAGCTTTGGATAATTGAGATTTGGCTGTAGTTTCAAGATAAAAGAAGTTGGTACATGAATATAATTTTAAATCATGAATAAAGTTGGCAACTCTTTATCAATTTTTACTTAATCGTTAGATTAATTCATGAATGCACTGGATGTAGTTGATGAGTAATGCATTATTTTAATCTACAACTTATATAAAAATGACATATTACTTTTTAACTCCATCCTTTTATAAATGCCTTTCATATTAGGAAATTGGTGTTATTTTAATTTAGAAAAATTTCATTTTAAAAAGCTTTGCATAATATTCGCGTTTCTCTAAAAGCTTTTGTATCTAGTTTAGCTAGCCTAATTAAATTAATGTACTGTAATTATTAGGAATTTTTCTTTTGTAGGCACTTCTCTTTGATGGATTAGAAGATGAAGAACCTAGTCTGAGTAACATTGCATTTATGCCTAAAAGAAGTGTTAAGAAACTGGTTCTGAAAAATATTGGCAGTAATCAGTCAACTGTCACTTTAACATCGAACTTTTCACCTAATCAGTCTACACGTATTAATGTATCTATATCCTTGAACAGACCAGAAAACAGCTTGTCTGACAGAAGTGACAATTCATCCCAGCAACCAGTGCCTTTAACTGTAGATGTAACAGACAAGTATAAATAATTTTTCTGCATTTTCTTTTAATAATTCAATAATTTTTATATGACTGTATTAAAATTGTTAATATCCCATATTATGAATCACATTTGGTCTGAGATGTGATTCAGGGGTGGTAGTAAAGTAGTAGTGTACTCTACAATTTTATTCTACGGTCACCGACCTTCATCTCTGAAAAGCATCAACCCTAAAAAAGATATACTGGATAGATATGTCCCAGATCTAATTTAATTAGATATTCTACATTTTTTGATAATTACATATTACTAAAAATAGAAAGTAAGTATACTATATGTTTATAGGGAAGCAGAATGCTTGGGACGTATCTACCCTGATTAACAGTGATGATATCTTATAATATAAATGTATGCTGATTATCAGTGGTGATATCTAATAATATAAATTAATGAGATAGTCCTTCAGTTAAATCAAACACTATCTTCAGAAGGCAGAAATATCATAGTTACACTAAGCATATTTTATATTTTTAAAATATTCTATTTTATAATCTGGTAATTACTTTTGCAAAATTACTGACTTAACTCTGATGTTTTCTGTCTAAAATATTGATGATCAATTGAAACTGATGGAGTGCTACTGAGTCTTAATGGTTACTGTTGAAAGGACGAATTATTATCAATTTAATATTAAAAATGTAGATGATGTTAACTAACTATAATCATGTTCATTGGCTCACATGGCTGTTAAATAGGTCTGGTTCCCCAATCTGTTTATTTCTTAGCTCATGAATAAATTGTTATGGGCCATAAATGACTTTCAGGCCACCATTAAGCTATAACTGATCTAGAAGACTTTAAAACTCATCAAGACTGTTTCAAGAAATGAATTATTGGTGGGATTAAATAGCAGGAGTTATAGGCAGTGGCAGGAGCTTTGCCAGATCACTCCTAAATTGCTTTTAATTGAGCAAACTGTGTTTTAAACTGCAATATTTACTTAACCCTCTGGCTGCTCATCCCGCGATTTCCAAGGGCAAATCAAATGTAGCAATGTCTGCTCAACCTACGCTTTCCACGGGAATTTGTTTTTCTTCCTTTGTTGAGGAGCGCATCCCATTTTTCCCCATTTAACCACTGAAATAAATATACAGTATTAGACATTTACTTTACGCTTTGGCCAACAGATATTGTTAGTTGTCCACAAAATTGCAGAGTTTGAAGACACGTGGTATTACTACTCATGCTCCACTTTATTCCTACAGAAATGGCTGCTAGAAAACATTCAGCGATTATCTTGTTTATTTAATTAAATTATTGGGGGATACTCAGATAACCAGCACTTGGCGAACTTCCTGAAATCGCGTTTGGCAACTTGGGCGATACGCGCCATACAATGGGGGGACAGTTTAGGTTGCTAGTTTAGATCTTCACTATGCTAGGGAGAAAGGGAAGGTATATTTTCTTTCTATATGTAAATACTTTTGCTTTGGCTATCATATGACTTTGCAGATGAATTGTCGTGCTGATCACGTAACTTTGTCAGCAGACATGGTGCATACGCTCATATGCTGTTTGTTGTTCCGTATGATCATTCGCTATTTAATTATTTTATTAGAACAAAATATTATTATTTATTAGACTATTAAAATCATAACTATTTAATTACCGGAGACAGGCTTCAAGTTGCCATAAACCATTCGCTATACTAAAAAAATTTTAGAAAATAAAATTACTATTAAAATTATTAATGATTTAAAAATTAAATAATTAAGTATTACAAAATTAATTGATAACTATTTAAATAATATTAATAATTAATACTGGGCTCCCAGTTGCCATTTAATTACCTTATAAATTATTTTCTAAATTACTTAATATTTAAGTATATAGGTGTTATTTATCTAGCCTTAACAAACAGGAATTAATTTCTAAATAAATTAATTGTACTCCTAACATGAATTATTTAGAATAAGAAAAGCACTCGCGGGTTATTTGCTTAAGATGGCGGAAATCCGTTAGTCGAACTCCAAGACGAACTACCAGTGTGCAACAGTTTTACCACTATCTCGCTGACAAACACTCTGTATCATACAAGCATTTTTTTAATCCATTCTAATCAAGCTTATATTGAAATAAAATGCTTATAAGACTTTGAAATGCTAATAAGTTAATGTAAAATATTAAAGAAACAATATTCTGCTACTTTTCTATGTCAAGTATATTTCATTGATTTCTTTACATAGAGGATTTTGGGGAGTTCAGTGTATCAGTAAAAAATTTAAACTATTATACAAAACATGAGCAAAATTCTTTCACAGATAAACAAATAAAAGTTAATTAAATTTATATCATCAAATCTTTGAATAAGATTTATCTTCATAGATTTTTCTGCTGTGGGTTTACTCATATTAGTTTTTAATGGCAATGAATATAAATATTGAAATTTTTGCAACAAATACATAACCAAAATATATTCGTGAAATATATTGTTAGAAATCTTGTTTCCCTGCAATTATGCAATTAAGGATTACATTTCTTTGTTTACCTACATGAAAACTATTTTCATATTTTAAGACGAAGGGAAAAAAATTCTGCTTCCATGCTAATAAATTCAAAAGAAGCTGGGTTTTGAAAACCTGTGAAAAAAACGGGAATTTTTTTTTTTTTAAAAAAAAAAGAGACAGATGTCTTATTTTGCAACTGCTATGTATTTCTAAGTCAAGGTTATTTCAATGAACGGTTACGGTTAAGCTGCACCGTACTATTTGCTTTGTGGAATCCAGTTTATTGCCGATTTAGTTATTAAATTCAAATACCTACCTTTTCATTCAGTTTATTTATAAACAACATTAAAGACACACATATTAAAAAAAGGAACACTTTTATTGCACAGTCATCTATCAAATTTAATTTTTGCAAAAACTTTTATTATCGAAAAAATATCTGTTACTTATTAATGCAAAATTATGTTAACAAATAAAAATATATAATACATTTATATACATTTTTACTGTTTATGTTAGTAATTTTGATCAAACAAATTTTTCTACGAAATATCGATTATTAACTGGGAATCGATTTTTCGCGAAATGACGTAGGCGCAAAACCCCATGAACTTTGACCTCTGAACCTACATTATTTTGGTTCAGTGCTCTGTGTGTAACACTTCAAAAGGAATCACCTGCCAAAGCAAGTATTTTTTCAATTAAATTTTTATCTATTTCCATTTATTGATATTTGCATATTTGAATTACTATTTTTTATTTATATTAAAATTTTTATTTCTGTAACTTAGGAATATTTGTAATTTCTTCATATTTAAGAAGTTATTAATATTTATTTTTGCATTTTCTTCTGTCTACTACTAAACCTTTATTCCAGTACGTTTACCAGTGTTTTAGTTTGAAAATATTTTAGCTTAAATTTTAAAAAATAATACATTTAATTCAATATTTTATCTGATTTATCTAATTTATTTTATTTGTAATATAATGTGAATGAATAATTTTATATAAAATATTTATTCTATATAAAATGCTGACATAAGGTTATTTTAATATAGAGAGTAAAAATAAATCTATAACGATCGGTTTAGTTCATCAACATAAAATGTAATGTGTGTGAAATGAAAGTTTTATTTTTTTAAAGTAGTATATTCATGTATATTTGATCTTTTAAAATTTTTAACGTTACTTGCGTGATAAATATTCCATTTGCATGATCTTTACTGCATTTATATGAAGACCATAGTTTCAAACATATTTAACTAATATTATAAATAATTGTAGAAATTAATGGTCAGAATTAAAAAGAGAAGTATAAACGGTAATAATGTTGGAGTTATATATATCAGAATCTAAAATACTAAGGTGAAAAAAAGTATGTAGATTAACTTAACCACATCAATAACTAAATTCGTTCTATGTGCTTTGTTTACCTTTTTTTAACGCAAACGCGTTACTATATTTAGCCTCAGCAATTTTCACCTAGCACGCCTTTCTTCCCTATATCAGGCTGAAGAGGGAAATTTTGCAAAGCGTCTTTTGACGTCATTTGCATCAAAAAAATCCTTCCGAAGATTTGCTGATTTTCGCTGATTCAAGATGGCGGAAAAAATTGCGCCAAGTGCTGGTTATCTGAGTCTTCCCAATTATTGAATCATTAATTATATTTATTGATTAGATTAATAATTAGATTTATTGAATCTGGTGCAAAGACTATGAAGTTAGACCTTCCTTTGAGCCCTGTTTTGAACTCTATCATACTAAACTGCATTTCTAAGATATTTTTTCCTCAGTGCTTTATATTTTCTTAAATTTTATATATTTTACCTTTTTATATTATGCGATAAATAAAAATTAACTGTAATTCGACTGAAATTTTATTTTTTAAAAATTTTTTTTGGGTGATAACATCTGAAATTTGTTTTTCTGGCAACTTAGTTTCTCATGATAAAATTCTATATAAAAAATATTTTCTAGAAAGGAAAATTGCATTTTTCAATTCTCCAATATATATAGATTTAAAATATGCAAAAAAAAAAAAAAAAAAAAATGGAATCGAGCAAACCACTCTTGGGTCCTGAGTTCACTCGCAGCATTCTCACTGTACACTTCACAAATTTTTCAGCATGTTTGGCAGCGTTTTTATCTTTTTTTATAATAAAAAGGCATCACATAGTGTCTTTCTTCAGCTATTTCACTCATTTTCAAATTCATATAACTTTTTACATGAGCAATGAATTAAAAATCTATCTTCACAAACAATGGAAACTGAATATCACCTTTTAAAGCACGTGTACGTTTGAGACAATCAGGTGAGCGTTGCCGGATGTATAGGCATCAACACCATCTAGTGGCAAAAAAGCACAAATACTTTTTATATGACCCAGTATAATAAAATGACAGGGGGGAGAGAATATTTAAACAGTAACCAATTTTAGCAATGCCATCTAAAAAATAAATAGCAAACTAAAAGCAGTAGATTGCATACTTTGTGATGACAAAAATGTAATAGCAAGGATATTTTTTTTTTAATTGGAAACAGAGTGCAGGCACGTTATTTCAAATTGTTGAACATTATTTTTATAGCCTTTATTTGAGGCTATGTTAAACACATATAAATATTATATGTAAATATGATGAAAGGATAGTAAACATAGCATTGACTTTAAGAATTTAAATAAAAAGGAATAAATAAAGGAATTTTGAAAGGGTTACTTGATTTTCTGTGTACTTATAAAAGTCATTTTATTCAAAGACTTTAACCTGTTAAAATGCATGTATGAAATATTAGGCATGCAAATCTCTTGTGTTGAAATTGTAAACACAAAATCTAGTTGTTCCTTGTACTTGGAGGAAGTTTCTATTTAATGCATCATTTTACTTTTTGTCTACGATGCAGTTCATTATTATAGTGAAATTGCTTCCATAAAAGGCCTTGGACATGATCTATACTGCTGTATTGCAGAATCATTCCTTTCATCATTACACTTACATTCTTTCAATGAAATAACTATTTTAATCTAAACTTAGCTTTTTTCACCAGTAGAGTTTGAAAGATATCTGCATCATTGCTTTAAAATTCATAAAATTTCTCTCAAGAATCAGTATTAAATCATTCTAATTTTTCTGCTCTAAAGTACCATATTTACATATTTTATCATTCTGACTTGCTAAAATTTTGTAACATTATGCCAAAACTATATAAGGTATTTCATATTATAGTGAAATTGCTTCCATAAAAGGCCTTGGACATGATCTATACTGCTGTATTGCAGAATCATTCCTTTCATCATTACACTTACATTCTTTCAATGAAATAACTATTTTAATCTAAACTTAGCTTTTTTCACCAGTAGAGTTTGAAAGATATCTGCATCATTGCTTTAAAATTCATAAAATTTCTCTCAAGAATCAGTATTAAATCATTCTAATTTTTCTGCTCTAAAGTACCATATTTACATATTTTATCATTCTGACTTGCTAAAATTTTGTAACATTATGCCAAAACTATATAAGGTATTTCATAAATTGTGCAAATTTTAAAAAGGCTATCATTTGGCCAAAGTTGTGTAAAAAAATCAAAACTTCTGTTTTATTTCCTTCTGCAGCAAACACACTGAGTATGTAGCGGAAAATTACATTTGACATATATACGCAGGCAGTTACTGTGTCAGTAAATTTCATGGTGACTCTTTTAGAGATATCTCAATTGATTTTCCCAAAGACCTTGTACATTCCTTTCTGTAGTTCAAGAACTGTTGTAGTTTGTTCACGTAAACTTGTGGCGCTTTATAAGCCCATAGAAAGAAGTTTTAATGTGTGAAGTCACAAGACCTCACAGGCTTCTTCTTCTTCTTTTTTTTTTTTTTTTTTTTCCCCTGTTCATTCCTAGGATGGGAGATCCCAGGGAATTTTTCATAAAGCCTTGCTGAATGTGTACCAGATAGCCCTATCCTATTGAAAAGACATTTTTGTGGTATCTGTTTCATCCACAGCAGACCATAAAAGCTATATAACATCAGATATATTTCTGTTTGACTATTTTTGAAGCCTTTTTTTGTCATGATTTATAAACTTCTGTGTACTCTAAACTGAAACTTTCGAAGAATTGTTTTCATTTCATGTATTTTAAAAAATTGTGCAATTTATTTAATATAAAAAACTGGCAGGATTAGCAAATTTATAATGTAAAAGCTTAAGTAATTTTTAAAAACTGATTCACATTGTCTTATATTTTTTTGCAGTAGTGATGCTAACAGCTTCAATAGAGATATATCAGGTGGTAATATAGTTCCTGTTTCTTCAGAGAAATCACCTTCTATTTTGGATGATTCTATTCACCTTTCTGAAAAGAATGATAGGTAATCATTTATGACTATTGTTTTAAATTTTATGCCTAAAGCTTGTGCAGTTGCTGTTTGTTAGCAATATTTTGAAAATACTGTGTATTATTACCATATTCTGATGCATTACTTCATGATAAAATTTCCATTTTGGAAGTTATTTCTTTCCTAATGCAGCTGTAATAAAAATATAGGTTTAATTCATTGTTTACTTTTTGTATTATCTAAATTAATAAAATGTATTTAAAAAGTCCTATGTGTTAAAATTCTGAAAGGGTTAATAAAAATTGACCTTGAAAGAAAGATTAATTTGTGAAGATAGGTTTTGTATGAAGAGAATTCAAAAGGTAAGCTACATCTGATTATTGTAAATCACAAAAATTTTACTGAATAATGCATTGTGTCAGGGATTCCAAACTTTTTCTTGCATGGACCTCATTTAAACAGGAATGGGTTTTCTTCTTCAAGCTCCTTACATTTTTCTCAGCAGTATACAATATAATAATATAAAGAATTGCACATAAAATGAAAATTAGATTAAGAATATAAACAAAAGTTTTGAAAAATGTTTAATTATTTTTATTTTACAAGCATAAACAAATTTTTAGGAAAAAGTACAGAACCTGACTGCAGAAAATTTCGATTTGAATTAATGTTATATGGCTGCACTTGACATATTGATGCTTTTTAGTCCATAGGGGCAATTTGCCCAAAAGGACTATTAATTTCGTTTTGGCATTTTGCATTAATTCACTACAAGCGTTGTTTCACTTTACAAATTGTTGCTTTCCTAATTCTATTAAAAATAGTAAATGTGTATAATATATAAAAATCTTACATTAACTAATTAATATAAATTACTAATTACTATAAACTGAGAGAAATTTCTGTATTTATTTAACAGTTTAGTATTCTGTTTCTGTATGAAAAACAAGAGATTTTGTTTTGATAATATTTAATGTTGAAAATTTACTAATATTTATTACATATTTTTCTTTTTAGTATGAAAGACAATGCAAATGACACTATTGCTGAACTGCATTCAAATAAAGAACGACTTACTAAGCGCATAATGAATACTTTTGAGGAAACATATATTGGACATACAGATAGCTGTAATGAAGAAACACCCTCGAAAAGTAAACAAAGTAATGAAAGCTATAAAGAAAGAGTTCATGAAACAGGAATAATTTTAACTAGACCTGGCTATTACACTATACCTCCTTTACCTGACCTTATTCCTCTCATTGATGAAAATGGAAATTGTTTTGTGAAAGACTTTACCATTGGACGAGAAGGTTTTGGAAGAGTCACTTTTCCTGGTGTTATTAATGTTGCAGGTCTCAACCTTGATGAAATTGGTATGTATTTTATAAAAGCCTTTTATTATAATAAATTATAATTATTATTCTGATAAGTATAATAAATTTTTAGCCTTTAAATATGTTAGTAAATAAATTATTCTGCATTGTACTAATTTATGACATGTTATTAATTTAATACCTTTTAGCATAATCATTAAATTATTGGCCAGAGTAAAGAATCTAGGGCTAGCGCATTGCGCAGCAGCACCACAGGTCCGGGTTTCGAATCCAGGGCTGTGCAAGGTCGACTTAGCCTTTCATCCCTCGATTTCCATCTCTTGGGTCGATAAAATGAATACCAAGTTTGCTTGGGAACTAAACACTGGGGGGTCCTGCGAGAAACTGACCACTTGTTCAGGGCATGTGCTTATGCACCCGGGGGCCCATGGTCAAGAAAGCAGATTTCGGGGCACTGCAGGCCTTGGCCCATTAGGGCTGTATGTGCCACTGAGTTTAGTTTAAAGAATCTAGGGTAAAGTATTTATCTTTATCTTAAATTTTTTAATACCCCTATCAAAAGTTTTTGGGGAAAATTTTTCCCCCAATTTTTATCCTAAGGTATTTCCTTGAATTCACTATTTTTTCAATACTGTAATATTTTAAATTAGTATGTCAGAGGTCAGGTGAGAATATTCTAAGATGTCTTAAGCAATTTTGGTAACTGTTTTAAGCATTCTTTGTTTTTTCAAGGCCTACCATAAAATCTTGTCTGTTTAAGAAGTGAAAGAAAATATTACTACCTTTAATAATATTTATTGCACATTATAATTTCCATTATTACTTAGGACTTCTTACCAGTGTAATGGTAATTTGTATATACCCTTTTTAATAATGTCTTATCCTTAGACAAACTCAAGTAGTGGTTGGCTGACATCTGCCTAAGTTTTCAATTTTTCTCCCTTAAAATATTTTTACAAGGAGTGAAACAAGTGATAATCAGAGAATGCTAGGTTTGGAAGTATGGTAGATGTGGCAGAATTTCTCATTGTAGCCCTGCGATTTTCTAGCAAGTCATCAAAGCAGTATGTGGTCTGGTATTAGGATGTGCCTCTTATTAAACATATTTTCTTTGACTGCTTTGTTTAAATAATCCATTGCAGGCAGTATTTCTCCAAGCTGACTTCTCAGCTTAGAAGTGGAGGGGGCTGGCTGTTTGGGCTCACAGCATGCTCTTTTCCTAACATTGTTTTTCTAAGTAATACAATTTTCATTCCCAGTTATCATTCCAGTTATTCCCAGTCAAAAAGGGTTAGTTTTTGTTCTACACAAGCAGAGATATGCATATGGCGATTTCATCATGTAATTTTTTCCCATTTAACTTGTAAGGCACCCATCTGAAATATTTATAGATTAATCCTAGTTTCCAATATGGTGAAAATGGTTTGTTGAGCTGAATTAAGCTTTGCCGCAATCTCCAGTGTTGCCGGGGGGCATATCTTACTGAACCATGGTCTTGATAATATTGTCACCAACAAAGGATGGGCATCTGCAGCATGGCTTATCATTAAGATTGAAATCACCTGCTTTAAATTTTTCAAATCATCTGCTGCATTTCTATCCAAAACTTCATCTCTAACAAAAACTGTCACTAAATGCTTCTGAAGCATTTCTTCCTTGTTGAAATATGTACAAAATACCGTATCGTAAAGGAACTTTTATCAGTAGCAAAATTTACCCAATTGTGTGTTAATTAATAATGACATGAGACACTTTGGTTTCAGCTAAGTTAGAAATGCAGATACTTATAAATGCAGTGAAGTGAGACAGCTGTACATGTCTCTACTGAAACCTGCATGCATATTGAAACTTGAAAAACATTACTGGATGGAACTTTCTGTTAGATCGTATATTTTACATATTGAGTGTATGCAAAATATAATTTTGAACTTATACACACTAATCTTCAGAATTAGAGAATTTTCATATTTGGTTGATTATCTCTGGATGTGAGCAGATTTTAATGAAATTTCCTATAGACCTAGATTGATGTAATGCATTATATATAATCAAGAGTTTAGAAATTCCAAAACTAAGATTATTAATTATTAAACTGTTTAAAAAGGAAATTTTCAGAATCGGAATTCTTAATTTTTGCTATAAATACCCAGAACTCTTTAATGACATCTAGGTACTAAAAAATCAATTTATCATTGCTTCTATAGGTTAAGCTAATAATGATTTTAGTATGTATATATATTTTAGAGGTTTGCAGTCATGGTACATTGATGGAATTTAACAGAGAGCTGACTAGAGAAGATGAAACCAGTCGCTTTTTAGAAATGGCGGAAAAACTGTTGCATAGATCTGATTGGAATAAAAATTACAAGTGGCTTTCTCGTTAAAACATTATTGTTATTTTTAACAGGAAAAATTCTTCAGCTATACATTTCTGCTCAAAGTGGTACAACATAAGGGGCGCTAAATGTAGCTTAAAATTTCTATATATGCAGTTTTCATTTCAGATAATAGAAAGAGGACCTTAGCAAAGAGACATGACCTTCCTATGCAAGAAAAAAAGTTCTGCATGTTAACTGTAGTCGTATTTATAAGCTCAGAAAGACCGTTGTTTTAATCCTGAGCAGTGATTGGACAAAGTTTTTCGCAGTGGAGAGAAATTGCAGAGAAAGAGTGATGTAACATGCTGCAGACGGAAGCATAACTTTATTGAAAAAATACTTACACTACACTTTAAACATAAAAATTAAAATTTTAACTATAATTATTATTATAAAAACAAACATAACTGAATGAACTTTATTTTTCTTTTCAATTTCGATGGCCCCTCTGATGCTGAACTTGTGATAAGAATTTAGTCAAATCTGGCATATAGTCGTATTAAGATGAATACAAGCATCTGAATTTTCGGTACTATATTTCTGTTCTTAAAGTAAATTTTATGTTTGAAAATATTTGCTCACATGTGTAAGTTAAATCGAATGCAGACAAAATTTCAAAGCCAATGTAGCCCTGGGATTTTCTGGCAAGTCATCAAAGCAGTATGTGGTCTGGTATTATGATGCAATATGATATGCTTCTTATTAAACATATTTTCTTTGACTGCTTTGTTTAAACCATCCATTGCAGGCAGAATTTCTCCAAACTGACTTTTTTTTTAAAAAAAAAGGTTTCAAAAGCTCATAATGTATTAGTCCTTGGATATCCCTCCATATACACAGCTTTCTCTCATTCGGGCTCAAACTCGGTTTAGAGGTGAAAGGGGCTGGCTGTTTGGGCTCACAGCATGCTCTTTCCCTAATGAATAATCCCCTCTAACATTCATACAACTCTCACAACTAGACTTCATACTGCAAATAAAACAGTTTATGAATCCCTGCAGTAGTTGGTCTCACTTCTGTATCAGTGCTGTTTTTAGGTTCTAGGAAGGGCAAGGCAAGTTGCAGTTGTCTTCCCAAGAGTACCTCAGACGTGTTCTCTAGAGTTTAGGCCTGAAGATTTCTCTGTCCATTCAATTAATATCCTCGCTTTTCAGAAACTCGTCCATCAGTTTATCCTTGTAGACAAGTTATTATGTGAATAAAAATGAACTGAGGCTCAACTGCATTCCTGAAAAAGTGAACATAGAGAGAGCTTTGATAACTTTTACCTATACTTTACAGTAGTCACAAAACCTCTGTGAAAGACTTGAAATGCTATGCTTCTGTCCAACATGATACATGCCAGACCATCAAGCCTCCACTGCCTACTGGTACCTTTGCCTGATGTTGGAGGATGTTAACAGGTCCTTGGCTCTTATCAGATGAGCTTATGTTAAGAATAAGTGCTTAAGTTGAATCAGGACTCATCTGGGTAGGAAACAGTACCCCACTGATTTGGTCTAAAATTGATGACGTCTGCATCGTGTGAAATGGGCTGTTTTGTGTGCAGGAAAGTGTGGGACCCAAACAGCAGGTCTTGCAAACAAACCTCTGTCATGGAGCATTCTGGGAGCAGTAACCTTTGAAATTTGAGTCTTCTTATGGCCACATGGACGTCATGAGAGAGCTAAGAAGCTCTTGTACTTTTTTTATGCCTCTTTAAAAGGGACAAATATTGATCTTCATTGCCAGTCATGGCTCTTAGTCAACTTTGCCCATGTTTTTCTCTCTATGGATCCAGGATCCTAAAACTGTTTCTCTAAGTTGCATTTAACACTGGGTGTTCACTATTTGAATCTGCTCTTCAGTATACCTTGCTTCAAGTCTCCCAACAATTTTATAACTCATTCAATTTCATAACTCATTCATTAAAATGAGTAATCACTAATCGAAGCATTAGTGATTACTCATTTTAACTGTCTGTTTTTAATTTTACTAAATGTGAGGAAAAAAAAGAGCAGAAAATTGTCCAAATGAGCTAATAAACTGAGAAATGACTTTCTGCTAATAAATGAGCTGAAAATATCATGTACACTATTAGCAGTAGTTACTTTAAATACTGTGCCTACTTGCATGCATACACTTACCTAGTCAACCTAAGTTTTGCATTTTCAGTTGAGAAGCATAATTTGTACCTTTCATTCATCATTTTTAAAAAATTCGCAAAAGCATGCAGATTCTGTGTATAATATTTATGTACTCTTTAAGTAGTTTGTTTCAAATTCCTTTATTTCAGTTCATTTCCGCAAAAAAGAGATTACTGTTTACCCTGACGAAAGCATAAAACCTCCAGTTGGTGATGGCCTCAACCGAAAAGCTGAAGTCATTCTTGAAGATGTATGGCCAACTAATAAAACTAGTCATACTCCCATAAAGGTAATATTTATTTTTTATTTTATTTTATTTTTTTTTTTTTTTTTATTATTATTATTTTTTTGATAAACATGATGTGAACTGAAGTTAAAAAGGGCAATTTAAAGTTAATTTCTTTAAAATAATCACTTTACTGAGATTTGCAATCTTTAATGTATCTGCAATAACCATGATAATCTATTGTAACTAAGGGTATCTAACTACATAATTTAACTATTTGTAATTAACTTCTTAGCCTTAAAAGATATTTCTACATTTTAAGGTAAGTTATTGCCCTTCCTTAATCCTTATTATGGATGTAATGTAAAACTCTAAAATGTAAAAATTAACATAAGACCTTATTCCTTACAAGTTATGAGACTTGGCATACTTTAAAACAATCTGTCAACTCTAGTGCTGCAGTGGCTTATTGGAACTTTATATTAAATACTGTATATTAACTGGGTTATGACTCCATCAAATCTACACAAAGTTATGACACTAACTGGGTCAGGCAAAGTACAGCTGATGTTTGCATCTGTTATAAGTGGCTCTCTGTCTCTAAGGAAGCAGCAACCGAGCTTCTGTTATGAGTCATGCTGATTATTATTTTACTTCTCAATTTACTTATGCTAGACATAAAATGTGCATAAACCTTTGGACTGAATGAGTGAAAACATGACGAAATGAGGCATAAAAGAAAGAAACAGTATAAAGCTAATTGTTAGTAAAATTTAAGTAAAAAGTAACTAATCTTCTTTAAATTATGTGGAACTGTTATAAGTTTAAAATACAAATGTTTCAAAAAATTATATAATTTAATACTAATTATTATTAAAGTTGATTTTATTCTTGAATTTGTTTTATAATTAAGTTAATTATTAGATTTGGTTTAATAATAATGCATGCTACTTGCAGATTTTATTCTTATAAATTTGAAAGTGAAGTTAATAATAGCTTTAGTTTAGACACAATAAATAGCTTTAGTTTCTTCAGTTTCTATTGGCTAATAAGCCCTTCTCTCTCTCTTTCTTTCTTTCTTTCTTTTTTTTTTTTTTTTTCTTTCTTTCTGTTTTCTTTCTTTCTTTCTTTTTTTTTGTTTTTTTTTCTTTTTTTTTTTTTTTTTTTTTTTTTTTTTTTTTTTTTTTTTTTTTTTTTTTTTTGTTTTTTTTTTTTTACATTGCTCTTAAAAGTACTTAATTTCAGTGTACAGAAATGTGTCCAAATCATATATAAAACAGTACATAAAATTGTAGCATTAAAGACTAACATTTTATCAGAATTATGATATAAAAAGAAGAAAAAAAAATTGGGGGGGGGCCTTTTTTAACATTATATCTGTTACTACTGCAAGAATCATTATTTGATATATTATTCTTTCTGTAAGGAAATTTTTTTTAATGTCTTTATTGTTGTAATTGCTGGCTGGCTGAATCCCAAACTAGTAGATCTCATTGGCCACCTCACAAAGCAAGTAGTAACATTCAATTGACCCTCTTCCTTATAAAGATGTGCTGTTCTCTTGTGAACTGATTCAAAGAACCAGTTCACTTTACTGAGTGAGTAAGAGGTGATTAATCAAAAAAGCAATATCTTTTCTAGAGTTCATCCACTAAGATACCTGCCCTTGTCAGAAATGTGCACAGCAAGTCTTATGTTTAGAGTGAGTTTAATTTCTATCGTTTCTGAACTTTAACTTTTTTTTCTTCTAGAATTTTATTGTTAGTCGTGTATTCTTAGGAGGTTTTAGGGAATCTCAAAACAACAGTTAAAACAAATCAATCCATGGAGTTTGTGATTCATTTGAGTTGAATCTTCCTATTCCACTTTGCGCTCGATTCTTACCGCTCTTCACTCCATCTTTGCTCACTGTTCCAGATTCATTTCCCATTCCATATCTTATTCATCAAGTCAGTCATAAAAAAAAAAAATATCTGTTCAGTTAGCAAATGGTTTGATCTGATCTGATAAAAAAGCGTTTTTTCCCCATTTGTAATTCCTTATAACTACCAGTGTAAAACCATGTTTTTTCTCTTTCAAGAACTTGCACTTGCAAGTCCAGTTTTATTCTTCTTGCTTGTTATGATGATCAGAAAGGGAGACTTTTCCCATCCAGATGAATTGTCAAAATATAGGTAACAAGTGCATTTTCTTAACTAATAGAGGACCATTTTAGAAGTCGAATAACAAAAATCAGCATTATATTTGCAAATTTTCCAGGACTAATTTCGAAAGTTTAACTACAGCACCATCTTCCTCAGATGCCAAAATACAAATGAACCAAGCATTGCTAATTTGTACTTTAGCAGCTTAGAAAGATGGTTTGGTAGTTAAACCATCGAAAATAGTCCTGGAAAATTTGCAAATGTAATGCTGATTTTTACTTCCTCGTACAAAGTGAAGGAAGTATTATAATTATGAAAAATTCCAGGTACCATATTTCATCAAAAATATCCATTTTTACTGCTATCAAATGCAATTTAATGATGTTTTTGCCTCAGAACACTGAAATTTTGTCTGTGGGACTGCTAGAACATATAGATTTGCACCTGCCTTTTTGGGTGCAATTGGCTGCATCCAAAATATATAAACATATATATCCACTCTGTTACTCGGCTCCATGAGCTCAGTTCTTTTTTATTCTATATGTTGGCAAATTGTGTATTTTTTGCTTTAAAAATAGAATTATCAATAATTTAAAAGTTCAAAATCGTAAAAAACAACCTTATATTTAGCGTAGGTATAATGAAACACTCAATCGATTTCGAGGGCAGCTAAAGGTCCCTCTTCATCAGGAGAAAGAAGAAAATAGGAATCACAGAAACACGTGGTGCTTATCAGCACTGCACGTGGTTATAACTAGATTTTTAATCAGAGTTGCACTGGCCGCCTACTTTTACTGAGCCAGGCTGTCTGATCAAGCATAAAGAAATATTAGCGAAGTTAAAATAGGGAGCGAGGGGCAAATGCACATTACGCTCAAAATCTGACCTTCAAATAATGGAAAGCAACCACTGAACGGATTTTTATACCCTCTGGTATACCAAGTGCGAGGAGGTAACGCCATCTATCGGCAAAAATAATTGAATTAAGACAGTAGAATTTTAAAGGCATTAGGAAGGACTGGATTGGACTTCAAATCATTAACTAAACTTTCTAAATCTTTGTGAATGTGAAAAGCCTCAAGAAAATCCAAGTCACCTATGGAAGAAGCCTTTTGGATGATTTTTGCAGACCCAAAATCAAAATTATGGTTAAACGTCCAGCTATGATACGCTATTGAAGACTTGTTAATTTCCCCTTTTTTGACATAAGATTCATGTTCCTTGATACGAAACTTCAAACGCTCTTTTTGTTTGGCCAATATATCTTAACCACCACACTGACATGATATACTATAAATTCCCCAAGAATTCAAGACAGAAAACGAAATCTTTTAGAATCGAAGGGTGAATTTTATTAATAGGGGAGAAACCGACTTGAAAATTGAATTTCTGGAGAATCCGTGCAATTTTATAGCTAACAGAAGGATAAAATGGAAGCACGACAAGGTCATTGATATTATTTCTAACAGTGGAATGTCTTCTTTGATGGGAATCTGAAAATTTTTTTTTTTTTTTGACGGCTTTATCAATAATCACGGGAGAAAATCCACGGTCAATCGCAACTGCTCTCAAATAATTAAGTTCATTGGTAAGCAAAGATTCAGAAGAACAAACTTTTAGCGCGCGGAAAACATAATAGTAAAAAGAAGCCATTTTTTGCTTAACAGGGTGGCATGACTTGGCATGGGTGGTAAACAAACTGCAAAGGGTTTACGGTACACAGTGGTGCTAAAATCGGTTTCATCATTGCGGATTATAAGAATATCGAGGAAGGGGAGGGAATTGTTGGGATTCAATTCAAGAGTGAATTGGATGGCTGGATCAATTGAATTCATAATAGATAGAATCTCGGATAAATCCTCTTTATAACCGTCAAAAAGTGCGAAAGTGTCGTCAACATACCGAATCCAAAGACGAAAAGATAATTTATCAAACAATTTCATCTCAAAATAGTGCATATAAATGTCAGCAAGTACCGGACTGAGAGGATTACCCATAGCCAATCCTTCAACTTGACGAAAATATGCATTTTGGAAAACAAAGTGGGTTTGACTTAGAGAAACTTTAGTGAGCGAAACCAACTCATTAATTTCAGTATGTGTGAAGTGAAATTCCCGAAGCCTAGTTTCAAGACAATTTAGTGCTCCTTCGACCGGAACATTAGTAAACAATGATTTGACATCAAATGAAACCATAATGGAACGAAGTGGGGAAATATTTTTAAGTTTATCAATGACTTCAAACAGAATTTTTTACAGTGTGAATATTGTTATCAAGTAGAGGAGAAAATCTGGAAACTAAATATTTGGCCAAAGGATATGAAGCAGTACCTATGTTGGAAACAATTGGTCGAAAGGGAATACCGATTTTGTGGACTTTTGGAAGAGCATAAAGTCTAGCGCAATTAGTAATAGGCGGAATAAGTGATTTCTTCAACTGAGTTGGCAGAATGTGGGAAGATTTAATAGCACTTTTTACTTTCATGAGGTCCGAAGTTGAAGGATCTTTAGGGATCGAGCAGTATGGGCCTTCATTTATCAATTTAGAGACTCCAGTAATATATGTGTGTTTTGTCCATAACAACGATCTGTCCGCCCTTATCAGCTTTAGAGATAATGATATTAGTATCAGAATGAATTTCACGTAAGATCTCATTTTCTTTTTGCTAAGATTAGAACCCAAAGATTTATTGTTAAAATTAACGTTATGAGTAATTAGGTGGCGGATTGTAATCCTTCTGCGTTTCCGAAATTTTGGAGAATTTAAAGGCTTTCTCTATAGGGCGATGATTTGAGGAATTGAAGGTTTAGATGTCTTTGAAAGTTGAAATTATATTTTAATACTTTTAACTGATCCTCCGAAAGATTCCTATTGGAGATATAACGATGGAGTTAACGTTTTACAGTGGGAAGATCAGCTAGATAATTGGGGACTATCCGACTGGTGTGTGAGTTTTTGGAATTTAGAATGAGCACATTTTTATGCCGTTGACAAACGGTATCGGTTCTAGACCAGGATGTATGTTCAAATGAGGAAAAATTTTTTTCAGTGGAATTAGCAATTTTTAAATGGAGGTAATATAATTCAAATTCAATTTTAGATAAACGTTTGCGTGTGTCCCTTATAATGTGACGAATAAGTGCCAATTTGAATTTATGCAAATTTTTAAAACGTGAACGGAAGCTTTAAGGCTACATTTCACATGTATAAATTTGGGAATGAAATTTTGATGTTTGCATTTAAGTAGTAACTGCAGATGATTTAAGAATTTCGTACGCTTAAGGCGTAGCTTACAAAATCGGTTCCTGTCAGTCGACATATTGTGAAAAGGGGTACAAGCAAGAAACAAGTGAACAAAAGAAATAATGAACAATTCTTCCGTCACCATTATAAGGGACACACGCAAACGTTTATCTAAAATTGAATTTGAATTATATTACCCCTCCATTTAAAATTGCTAATTCCACTGAAAAAAATTTTTCCTCATTTGAACATACATCCTGGTCTAGAACCGATACTGTTTGTCAACGGCATAAAAATGTGCTCATTTCTAAATTCCAAAAACTCACACACCAGTCGGATAGTCTCAATTATCTAGCTGATCTTCCCACTGTAAACGTTAACTCCATCGTTAATATCTCCAATAGGAATCTTTCGGAGGATCAGTTAAAAGTATTAAAATATAATTTCAACTTTTCAAAGACATCTAAACCTTCAATTCCTCAAATCATCGCCCCTATAGAGAAAGCCTTAAAATTCTCAAAATTTCGGAAACGCAGAAGGATACAATCCGCCACCTAATTACTCATAACGTTAATTTTAACAATAAATCTTTGGGTTCTAATCTTAGCAAAAAGGAAAATGAGATCTTACGTGAAATTCATTCTGATACTAATATCATTATCTCTAAAGCTGATAAGGGCGGACAGATCGTTGTTATGGACAAACACACATATATTACTGGAGTCTCTAAATTGATAAATGAAGGCCCATACTGCTCGATCCCTAAAGATCCTTCAACTTCGGACCTCATGAAAGTAAAAAGTGCTATTAAATCTTCCCACATTCTGCCAACTCAGTTGAAGAAATCACTTATTCCGCCTATTACTAATTGCGCTAGACTTTATGCTCTTCCAAAAGTCCACACAAACCGGTATTCCTTTTCGACCAATTGTTTCCAACATAGGTACTGCTTCATATCCTTTGGCCAAATATTTAGTTTCCAGATTTTCTCCTCTACTTGATAACAATATTCACACTGTAAAAAATTCTGTTGAAGTCATTGATAAACTTAAAATATTTCCCCACTTCGTTCCATTATGGTTTCATTTGATGTCAAATCATTGTTTACTAATGTTCCGGTCGAAGGAGCACTAAATTGTCTTGAAACTAGGCTTCGGGAATTTCACTTCACACATACTGAAATTAATGAGTTGGTTTCGCTCACTAAAGTTTCTCTAAGTCAAACCCACTTTGTTTTTCCAAAATGCATATTTTTCGTCAAGTTGAAGGATTGGCTATGGGTAATCCTCTCAGTCCGGTACTTGCTGACATTTATATGCACTATTTTGAGATGAAATTGTTTGATAAATTATCTTTTCGTCTTTGGATTCGGTATGTTGACGACACTTTCGCACTTTTTGACGGTTATAAAGAGGATTTATCCGAGATTCTATCTATTATGAATTCAATTGATCCAGCCATCCAATTCACTCTTGAAATTGAATCCAACAATTCCCTCCCCTTCCTCGATATTCTTATAATCCGCAATGAAACCGATTTTAGCACCACTGTGTACCGTAAACCCTTTGCAGTTTGTTTACCACCCCATGCCAAGTCATGCCACCCTGTTAAGCAAAAAATGGCTTCTTTTTACTATTATGTTTTCCGCGCGCTAAAAGTTTGTTCCTCTGAATCTTTGCTTACCAATGAACTTAATTATTTGAGAGCAGTTGCGATTGACCGTGGATTTTCTCCCGTGATTATTGATAAAGCCGTCAAAAAAAAAAATTTTCAGATTCCCATCAAAGAAGACATTCCACTGTTAGAAATAATATCAATGACCTTGTCGTGCTTCCATTTTATCCTTCTGTTAGCTATAAAATTGCACGGATTCTCCAGAAATTCAATTTTCAAGTCGGTTTCTCCCCTATTAATAAAATTCACCCTTCGATTCTAAAAGATTTCGTTTCTGTCTTGAATTCTTGGGGAATTTATAGTATATCATGTCAGTGTGGTTTAAGATATATTGGCCAAACAAAAAGAGCGTTGAAGTTTCGTATCAAGGAACATGAATCTTATGTCAAAAAAGGGGAAATTAACAAGTCTTCAATAGCGTATCATAGCTGGACGTTTAACCATAATTTTGATTTTGGGTCTGCAAAAATCATCCAAAAGGCTTCTTTCATAGGTGAATTGGATTTTCTTGAGGCTTTTCACATTCACAAAGATTTAGAAAGTTTAGTTAATGATTTGAAGTCCAATCCAGTCTTTCCTAATGCCTTTAAAATTCTACTGTCTTAATTCAATTATTTTTGCCGATAGATGGCGTTACCTCCTCGCACTTGGTACTACCAGAGGGTATAAAAATCCGTTCAGTGGTTGCTTTCCATTATTTGAAGGTCAGATTTTGAGCGTAATGTGCATTTGCCCCTCGCTCCCTATTTTAACTTCGCTAATATTTCTTTATGCTTGATCAGACAGCCTGGCTCAGTAAAAGTAGGCGGCCAGTGCAACTCTGATTAAAAATCTAGTTATAACCACATGCGGTGCTGATAAGCACCACGTGTTTCTGTGATTCCTATTTTCTTCTTTCTTTGTATTTCTTTCTCCTGATGAGGAGGGACCTTTAGCTGCCCTCGAAATCGATTGAGTGTTTCATTATACCTACGCTAAATATAAGGTTGTTTTTTACGATTTTGATTGTCACATTAGCGTGTTTCTCTTCTAGTCTAATTTAAAAGTTGTTTAATTGCAGCTAAGCCTAATTTTTCTGTAGCATAGCAGCAATATTTGTTTACATTTGAAACTTAGCAGAATAGTGGATTTATTGCCAGTATAGAGAAACTAAGCTTCACAACAAAGATGATGTCTTCTTTTATTGTTGTGAATTAAATCATGCTTAAACTATTCTGGAATTGTCATTTAAGTTATTAAATTATTTCATACATTGACTCAGCATAGTGTCCACAACAAATTAAGTCAGTTCTACGCCTTCAGTGTCTTTTTGCCAAGTGGGACCAAAAGGAATCTTTTAGTTTTGTGCACCGAAAAATCTGCCTTTTTGCCTGCTGGCCCAATTGCCTGTTTTTTCGCTGAAACTCTAATTTTAATTGAAAAAATTGTTTTAACTGTATTGGTGTTATGCTTTTATACATCTTTAAATTTTTAATGAAGATATTTTTAGTTTTTATGTATTTTTGCCTTTCTGCGAAGTGAGAACTGAATTAATTGTATGAGAAATAAATATTTAACGAAATTCAAGGAAATAAGTGTTTCATATTAGCAGCAAATATTGTTGCCAGTCTCACTTGGACAGGAAAGAATGGTTACAAGTAGTGCATGTGCATTGGGTAAGCAACCCTAAGGTACATTAGGTAAGGGAAAAAAAGTTGCAGGTATAAAGTTCAGGAAGTGTTTCACTAATGATGTGGTATGTGATCTATCACCTTTAGTTAGTTATTTTTTTCTTAGATTTTTGCCATTAAAACACTCTCTAAATTCAGACATTCAATAAAATGACAAGGAAAAGAAATCGCATAAACAACAACCAATTTTAGTCTCTCTAAAAAATAAATAACACATTAAAAGTGGTATATTACATTATTACTAATGTTTCTTTCTCGTCAAGTGCTTTAAGTATGTCCATTATAAGAAATGATGTATTAAAAAATGAAGATTCTAATTTGTCCTATTGTTGGTTTTTGGTAATGTTGAGAGTATTTGTGTGATTGCCTTCCAAAATAGCGTACTTGATGTAAGTAAAACATAAATTTAGTGGGTGCTTTACTTGAGATTTACAAAACTGATGAACAGGATATGTCAACCTATGATGTGAGGAAAAAATATGTGATGAATAACAGGGAACTGAACTGACTTAACTAGTATGACAGCACGTACTTAGCTGCAACAATTCCATGTGGTACTTTATATAAATGCTGTCCAGGACACTCTGCTAGATTCATGTTCCCATTCCGATCTTTGACGGCTATAATCGATGTTAGGGTTTTATGCATCACGACGCTGAAGAGAATCATGACTACTGGCTACACTGATAATCAGGACAATACACATCCTAGGTAAGGAGGACACACAGTCTTTGCACACTTCTCTTGACTTCTGCTACAGAATTATAAGTTTCATTCTCAGCACCTTGCAACCCCAAGGGGGAATGCAAATTTCCCAACCTTTTCACAACCTCATCTGTTCATTGTCAAGTGCACTTGTGTGCTGTGTTTGCTTTATCATTGATCCCCATTTGGCGATAAGACTGGCATCCCATCTTACTGACAGTCTCAACCCATGCTTATTTTTGAGGCAAGACTTATATTATAAGGATCCTGGAAAATCCCACTACTAAGCTTATATATTATTTGTATATTATGGGATTTTAGCAAGATTGTTAAATTTAGCCTGATTTCATATTTTATTAAGGTGAAGTGTTATAATAATTTTATTTTTATTTCTCTTACATATAGGACCCAGAAGTCCTGAATAAGTTGGGTTATAGGGAGAGAATTGTAAAATGTACTTCTCGCCTTGGTGCAAAATTCATTGATTATAAACCAGAAACTGGATCTTGGATCTTTGAGGTAAGATATTGAGAATAATCATAGCTTTACATTTAAAGATGTATTTATAAACAGTCTTGCAGTATGAAAAAGGATTGCCATTATAAGAGTGCAGTAAAATTTTGCTTTTTAAATCAAATTTGCAGGGCTGAAAAATAATCAAGATTAAAGACAACATACATAAAACAAAGTGAATATTTTTTTTACTAATTGCTTTCAACAAAAGTAATGTTGAGAACATTAATTTGAAATGAAATCTGCACAATAAATTATGATAACAAATGTCTATTAATGCATTAATAGTATATAATTAAAAAAGGGTTTTAATGCTTTTATCTAAAGTCTTAACAGATTGCATTACATTGTATTTATTTAATGGCTTCATTTAAAAAAACAACAATTATAGATTGAATTTTTAACACAGAAAATTTTGATCATTGTTCAATTACATATATGTATTTAACCTTAATCGTAGAAATTATCCAATGATTTAATGTGCTGTAAAAATTTGACTTTTAATTGCTATTTCAATAAAATGAATTCATTAAAATTATGATTTAATGTCAGGAAAATTCAGCATTAGATAAGATTTTTAATAAATTATTTGCGAAATCCTGATTTTATTTGACTTAAAATTTAGACATTTTTGTGCAATTCATGTAACATCACACATCTTCAGAATAACTATTGAAGTATGATAAACTGGAATTGAAGTGGCAGAGTTAAATAATTCAATTATAATAAAAGATAATTTATTGAGGAAAGCGAAGTACTTAAGCAGTATCTTGTTGACTTTCAGACCATGAAAGTTGGCAGAGATCCTCTCCAAAGTTGCACCAATTGTTCCTGTGGAATTCTGAAGGAACTGACTTCTCTTTTTTTAAATAGCTGTTAGTATTCAACCTGCTTCATTTTTGTATTTCATAAAAAGGTTTTTGTCAGTTTCTGCTATTTTGTTAGTCCATTTTATCAAAAGCTCTGTGTAGAACACTATGAGTGCAAACTTCCTGCAGGTAATTGTTCGAATCTATTCCTGTTTTGTTAGTCATAATCAGCTAACTGTGTTGCAATCATTAAAATACCTAAAAATAATTTTTAAAAAAACTTATAATCTTGCTGTTCTGTAGAAGGGAGATTTCAAATTCTAATCATACATTTCAGAATGCAAGGGAAAAAAGTAATTTTATAACCTTGTTAAGGAAAGCAAAGCATAGTTTATTGTGAGTCAATTGCCATTTTTCACATCTTGAGACATTTGCATAAAATCAGTTACCTGCAGTAAAGTTAAACTGCAAAAAAGAATTGCCTGTAATAAACAACAGTTTTTTATGAAACATTATCATTTCATGTCCCCCCTTTTTTTATGGGGGATGTATAAACATATAAATCATCTCTATATACCATTTATAAATAAATAGGTATATATGTTAATTATTGCCCTCAATTCAGATTTTGTAACTATTTACAAAGTTATTATGTGTAGATAATGGTCTTTTACAGTTCTGAAATTTTCCACAAAAGTACTTGTACAGCCCTTCCCAGTATCACAGAGCACAATCAATAGTTGCACTACAAATTACTAAGAAGGTTTACACTATACAATGAAAAGTGCATCTAAAAGACAAAGTTATCACTAATATTAATTTAAAAGTCAAACAACAAAAATGAGCGTTATATTTTCAAATTTTCACAGGACTGGTTTCGATGGTTCATCATCTTGCGCATTTTCAGCTGAGGATGATGGTTCTGTAAAACCATGGAAATTAGTCTTATGAAAATTTGAAAATATAATGCTGATTTTTGTTGTTTGATTTCTAAATTAATACTTGTTTGGTGTGTTATTGTATCTTAATTATCGTGGATATCTCAATATTCCGAAGTCACTCTGAACTAACAACTGAGAATTTAATACTCTCTCCAGTCTTATATAGTTTTCTCCTTCCTACCTAGAAATCTCTGGTACCTTCCATTTCTTGAAATTAAGATATACAATTAAAGTTACTAAGAGCTGATGCGGTTGCAGCTACAAATGGAGGTCAATTACAATACCAATTAGTAGTTATAAAGGGACTGGATCAAAATATCGCCAAGATTGACGATTTCTCATGAAATTTGGCAACAAAAATTAATATCCAAAACCATTGCCAGCTTGGTGATGTCTTGCCAGTTTAACGAAATAACTGTAACTTCAATGTTAAAGAGACATGACCCGTTAATCGTATTTTTTCAAAAGAGCTTCGTCTCTTTCAAGTATTTCATGTTCGATTATATAAAATATATACTACAATTTCACTAAAAAAATTACTAACATACATACAGAATTTGTAACAACAGTACTTATGCTACTTGGTAAAACCTCACATTAGTTTTTTTTTTTTTTTTTTTTTTTTTTTTTTTTTTTTTGTGAGAGTATTTAAACTTTGTGTGCCATGAAAGAACTAAAAGTATTCTAGTGCAGTGGCCGTCAACCCATAGCACTTCACGGACCACTTCATGTATAATTTTATATTTGGCAGACCACTAATATGAATTTTAAAAAAGGTAAATACATTATACAATAATCAGCAAACTACACATATTTCATTCACATTGAAAAATTATATGAAAAGTATAAAAGTCTTTCCTTCTTGTACAGAAAGCTTCAAATTTCCATATCACTGAAAAGGAACTTCACAAAAAGCAAGAACAAACCGGCAAACGCAAAGAAATATCAATGAATTGAAAGTGTTAGACCCACCAATTTTTAATTATTGTAAACATAGAAATCATCACTTACTCAGCAATGGCGCCATGGATCAACAGTCAGACAAAACAAAAACAGAAATTTCCAGTTATGCAATTATAAACAAGAATGCAGATGGTTCTCATAAAAATTCATAGAGTTGCCTAGTGACACATAGAAAAACTGTGTTATTAATGACTACAATAGCATATGATTGTAATTCAAAAAGAAGGAGAATTCCAGTTTGCACTATTATTGATAACAGCACATATCCATGGATGCCAAATCTCACTTTGAAATATCGTTAGATACACCTGCAAAAGTAGCTAAATTAAGAACGAATTTCAATAAAAGTTATAGCTAAAATTAAAAAATAAATCCATATTCCGTAATAGGTTTTGCTACTCGTCATGTTTTAAACTAAGTCTTCATAAAAATATAAATATTGTCCCAATTTTTCTGCAAACCATCAAAATGTTTTCACAAACCACAGTTGGTGACCACTGTTCTAGTGAATTATTATGATCAGTAAATTTTAATTTTATTTGAATAGTGTAGATACATTTCATATTTAATTGTTTTTCATATAAAGCATTCTGTAACTTGTCAGTGCATTATGAAATACTGATTAGTTGATAAATTGCATGTAAAGCTAAATTTTTTGTTAAAAGATATGTCTCCTTAGCATTTCAGCTTTCTAAGTATGAAATCTGGAGTGCATTTTTTTGTTCTTATTAATTAATTATATCTCCAGGTTGATCATTTTTCAAAATATGGATTAGAAGATTCTGATGAAGAAATGGATATTCCAAAGCCACCTGAAAATAAATCAAAAGGCATTTTACCACCTCCCCAAGTGAGTGAACTCCTACATCTTACTTTTGTAAATTATTTAACAATTCAATTTATCTGTATTCTACCTGCTTTTAGAGTCACTAAGATTTTGAATAAATGGATGAGAAGGATGTTTTCTTGTATATCTGTCAAACCAATGAAGCAGGCTTCTGTGGGTTCCCTCTCCTTTTCTCAGAAAGGGTGTCGCTTCAGATATATTCTTTGTGTTATAATTTGAGATTTTTTTAAAGAGCCATTTTTTAATTTCTGCATGTCTTTTTGTATAAAATTAATTTTATTGAGAATATTTTCAATACTAATGCAGTATACACTAAGGTGACAAAAATCATAGGGTACCTCCTAATATTGTGTTAGACTTCCCAGCGAAGTGCAGCAACTCAACATGGTCACGATTTAACAGGTCATTGGAAGTCCTCTGCAGAAATATTGGATGCTGCTCTACAGATATCCAATAACTGCGAAATTGTTGCCAGTGCAGGATTTTGTGCACAAACTGACCTCTCGATTGTGTCCCCAAAATGTTTGATGGGATTCAGTATCGGTCAATCTAAGTGGCCACATCATTCACTGGAATTATCCAGAATGTTCTTCAAACCAGTTACAAACAGTTGTGGCTCGGTGACATGGTGCATTTTCATCCATAAAAATTCCATTGTTGTTTGGGTACATGAAGACTATGAATGGCTGTAAGTGGTCTCTCTAAGTAGCTGAAGATAACCATTTCTAGTCGATTAGTTCACTTGGCATGAAAAAATAACCCACACCATTGTGGAGCCACCACCAGTTTATGCAGTGACTTGTTGCCAACATAGGTTCATGGGGTCTGCACCACACTCAAAGCCTACCATCAGCTGTTAGCAACTGAAATCATGACTCATCTGTTCAAGCCATAATTTTTCAGTCGTCTAGGTCTAACTTATACGGTCACGAGCTAATGAGAGGTGCTGCAGTCAATGTTGTTCTGTTCGTTAAGACACTCGACTCGCTCTTCTGCTGCCATAGCCCATTAAAGCCAGATTTCACCACACTGTCCAACCAGACACATCCATCATACATCCCATATTGATTTCTGCAGTTATTCATGCTGTGTTGCTTATATGTTAACATTGACACCTCTATGCACTCGTCGCCAGTCTCGGTCATTAAATGCTGAGGGTTGGACACTACGTTATCCGTGATGGAAGGTTATGCCTGAAATTAGTATTCCCAGCACACTCTTGACACTTTGGATCTCAGAATGTTGAATTCCATAAAGGTTTCCTAAGTGGAATGTCTCGTGCATCTAGCTTTAACTACCATTCTGCAATCTGTTAATTTCCGTCATGCGGCCATAATCATGTCAGAAACCTTTTCACATGAATAATTTAAATGTAAATGAAAGCCCTGCCAATATATTGATAATATATAATATGAGAGGTAATATGTTGTTTCCACGGAAAAACAATATGGCCTCTTCCTCTCTCCTCAGTAAATTAAAAATTGTCAACATTTTTTTACAGTTCTTAAATTGAAAAAAAAAAATTATTACAACTATATTACACGGTTCGTCAAATTAAGCAAATAGAAGTCGAAAGTCAGAGTTAAAGTACATAATTTGGGGACATTTTTTTGTAACGTTTAAGTTGAAAATAAACTATTACAGTATCACGCTGTTCATCAAATTCGGTAAATAAAAATAGAAAGTACCTTTTTTACATAATTTGGCGGTTTATCGCGGGGCCGTAAAAATTAAGTTGTACCCATTGGAAAGATACTAGAGGCCTTTCAGAATACACTGCCCATTTATACATTTTGTACATGATACTATTGCCATCTGTATATTTTGTATTGTTATCCCATCATTTCGGTCATCTCAATGTATTAAGGGATTAATAGTTGATTTATTATATAACATGGTGCTTATTAAATTATGGGTTGTGATCCCAAATTAGATTGCAAAGTGAAATGTTGGGGCTGCAAAAATTTAATTTAGATACATGAATTTAAAATACACTAATCACAAACCCTTAATTATTTTTATTGTAATATATTACATTTTCTCTGCAATGCAACTATAAAATCGTAATACTGCCTAAGTTGCACTGTAAATTATATTTACATATTGAAAGATACCACCAAGTACATCATAATAGCTGTGTAACATTGTAATTTCTGGAGGTACGGGTTGAAGCAAGGGTGCATTCCTGTAACTATATATTAAGTATTGCTGGGTCTTGGTAACTGTTAAAACTTCTGTGTCAGTTCTGAGGGAGAGCACCCCAGGGAGCAGTCTGAGGGTCTCCATCTCTTTTCCTTTAGTCTGTAACCTCTTGAGAGAATTTTCGGCTTGCCATGTATTTAAGTGCCTCTTTGCTGCACAGATTCTGTATACAAACATTCATGCCTTCTTCAGAATTTGAACCCAGGCCCATCAGTAGGGCAGTATACATCACTATTGCAATTTCTGCATATAAGTTATTTTAGAGTCAAAATATGCCTTAACCCACACTATGTAACATCCTGCGTCGCACAGTGTGGGGTGATAAGGCTTTTCTAGTACATTTTGTTGTTTCTATTTCATCACAATGAGTGTACAGTATTGTATTTTACTGTTTTATTCAACTAAAGTTGGTATGTATTTGAGTAATTGTTATAAGTGATGTTATTTCATTCATATTTTAGAATGAGATATTTTTCCTCATGATTAAATGGTTGAACTTAAGTAACAAAAATGTCTGAGATAGCAATGGTACAAAATCTCTTCAGGCAGATTGACAGATGTGCTCTCCAGGATGCTGTCAAAATTATTTTATTGAAAGCTATACAGCCATTTATTTTAAAATCTGTGTAAATACATGAAATTTGAATACAAACGTTATTGCTTGCAGAATAACGATGAATGTCAAAACACCAAAGTTTAAGGTTATTAAAATTAGAAACATTTTATGATACCTTTAACTGAACAAAAATCTGATGATGATGCTGTTTTGCCAAATAGCATACGACTATCATAAGTGTGCTGTTTGTCAGATATTTTTGAGAAGCTAAACAATTATCAACTTCTCAATGATAAAAGGGGTCAGGAACCAAAAAAAGTTGTTATAACATATAATCTGAAATTTTATAATTTATTCATAGTAGTGTCTGGGTCACTCTATGTTGTTGAAATAAAATAACTGGTTAATACGCTGGGCTGCATCTTATAATCAGACCACCAGAAACAGATTGCAGAAATAAAAACCTAAATGCAGAAAATCATCTTTACATAAAATCTATATTTTCAATTGTAATAACCAAACCACAAAAAAGTTTCACCTTTTCTTTAAACCATAATGTGTGATTACAAAGTTAAGTTATATGATGATACTACAAATCAGTGGATTTGTAAAAGGTTTCTTAGAATAATTTGCAACAAGGTATGGCAATACAAGAAACTGTATCTGACAGGGACTAGTTGTCAAACTGGAAAAGTTGTGAGATAAACATATCCATGTAACAACCTTACCGACTGACTACTAGTAAAAAAGAATTCATTAGTTGTGGGCTATGGTAGCCAGTTATTAGAAGCATTAAAATGTCTAAACAATGAGACTTAAAATTTAAAGAGAAAAAGTGATTTGCTGAAAATGCTGTGATACTTTTCCCGTTGTTGTCAATGAAAAACTTCCTTGTAAAGTTAGAAGTCTTACAAACTGTATCAGGGCACCTGATTTGGCAGAGGAATAAAATTGCTGAATAAATGCCAAAGAATACAATTTTATTCGTTATCGTATAGAGTTTGATTTATTTTGGTGGTTTACCAATTGTCTACTCAGACAATAAAAATCATGGATAATTTTGAAAAAAATTTATAGATTTTTTTTATAAATTATTTTTAAAATTATGCATTCTTCTGTGATAAATATTTTAATAATACATGAAGCACTGAAACGTAAATATCCATCTTTCATCAAGTGTTTGATAAAGTGTTTCGTCTGGTTGATAAAACAAATCTCAATTTACAAACTTAAAGATTCTAGAATTCTGAATACAGTATATGTTTTGTGTACTGAACTTTGTTCACAGCTGTATTATTCTTTTGATTTATACTGTTTTTAGAATCTCTGTGTTTCTTATTAATGCTTCCTGTTGTGGCTTAATATAATTCACATTTACTTTGAAAAGTTTTTTTATAAATAGAAGAGTCTTAGAGTGAAGTATGGAAATTTGCTGAGAAATGAGTTCTGTGACTTAAAAGTTTATTTGTTACACAGTGAAAACACTGTGTGAATGACTTTTGAGCTGCTAACTTCCCCCCCCCCATGATTAAATTCAATATTTCTTAAAAGCACTTAATGAAAATTTTGTAATAAATATTGATTTAAGCTGAAATAAATTCTTGATTTTTAACTACATGCTTTTCAATCAACAAAATTAATTTCTTACAGATGGCAGTTGTAAATGGACAAATCCCTTCTGATAATTCTATTTCAAATTTGCCTTTGAAGCCAATAGTGTATCATGTTGAAGATGAAGCTATGGAAGGAATAACATCTTTGTCAACCCAAAAAGATTATGAATTTGACCAAAGTAATAAATTTTTCATATATCATTTTCTTTGTGCAGATTCCACTTGCATTAGTATTTAGTCACGAAAGAATTTGAAATATAAATTTTATATAAAGCATGTACTTTTTTATGGGTAGCCGTGCGTATTCAGTATCTACATCATTGAAATTACTGGTTTATTTTGTAAAAGTAATATTGTAGTAGACTTTTATAATTTCTAGCAAATTCTATTTCTCCATTTTATAGTCATACTTTCTAAGCAGAAAATTTGCTTTTATATTCAAAATGTAGTAATGCTTTCAGTGTAAATGCAGAATTTACAATTATTTTGCTTTTAGCTAGTTTCAGGTTGCATTTTAAATGTGAAAAGCCTCTAAGCAGCACTTTTTTTAAATCTAAATATTGTTGCATTTTATATCCATTGCCTTATTATTTAAAATATATCACTATCATGTATGATAAAATCTCCCTTGGACATCTGTTCAGAATTATTTTGTGTTTGGTGGTAGTGATCAGTATTATGTTCTCAAAAATGATGGTCAGTATCAGAAGTTTGTATTTTTAATGATACAAATCATTATCATGGTATGAGAATTATGAATGCAGAGTAAATATATCATTTACAAATCAGGATATTAAATGTTATGTAAGTACAACAGTTGAGTGTACTTGAAAAGTGATGGCACTAAGAATGTTAAATCCTTCAAGTATTAGTTTTTTGAATTAGTTGCTTATACATTATTCTTCTTTATTATTACCCTGCTATTTATGTGCAACTGACATACCACAAGATTAGGTAGCATAGAACTGTCTAAAAATTCATCTTTTCATTTTATGAGTAATGCACTTTTGTGTGGCTTTATTTGTAATGAATATACCCTAGTTAGACATATGTAGTTAATTAATAAAAATAAACATACTATGCATGTATCCTAAAAGTTTATATTTTAAATGATGGGAGTGTATAACATTTTTGGTAACTGTATTGGTCTTCTGAGGAGAACTTAACAATGAGAGAATAATATAAAGTTTTTTCTATAATATTTAATAAGTTTTAATTTATATAATTTGAATAGAAAATTTTAATTCCACTAGCTGTAAAGAACTGTTTTGTTTTATGTATTTGTGAATACACATAAAGTAGTGTTTCTATCTTAAATATATTCCATTCTGGCATTTGATTTGAAATTTTTCCTTGGCAGTTTGTTGTCTGATAGTCTTGTAGTCGTGACAGTTATATTAACTATTCTATTGCGTTAGATATTTGCTATAGATATCAGTATGAATTATTATCTTCTAAAAATATGCATAATGATTTAATATATTCTATATATTTGTTAGCTGAAGACTTCTTCACTGAAGTTTATTCTCCAACTAAGCCTATACTGAATAGTGGTATTGATCCAGAAAGAATTCAGGGTATGAAGGCATCATTTTTCCAAGATGATATGAATGATGATATGTGGGGTATGAACAGAATTTTTATTTTATTCTTTTGTATACTTACACCCATTAATATGTAAATTCATAGTTATTCTCAAATCTCTGAAAAGCAAAGAAAATATTTTTTCCAGAAAAATGTAGCATTTATTAACATAATTGGCATATAATTTTAATTGTTGTTTAATTCAAAGGTATTAATTTTTATTTATGTTTAATGAAATTTTGTTTAATGAAAATTTTTATTTGTTTATTTTATTTTGTAAATTTAAGGAGATTTAATAAATGTCTGAAACAGTTGCAGAATAGAGTTTATTAGTAGTAATAGCTATTTTTTTAATGGAAGTTAAACTGGTTGAAGAATTTTAAAAAAGAGCCGTATAAGATTTTTTCTATCAAAGAATCTGCATTTTTTCATATTTTTGCCATATTTGTGTAGTTTACTTTTCAGAAGCATAATAAAATTAAAACATAAATAATTGAAACATAAAATTTTGTCCATTAAAAAGAAATTTGTGTAAAATAATAGTCATCCTAGTTAGTTAAAGCAAATACTCTGGTACTTTGGTATACATCATTAATTCATTCCAGATCCATGCACATACACTAAAAGAGCTTTTGCAGAAAGAACTAAAAGAAAAACAATGAAACCATTCTTATAAAAAATATCCTGTTATTATTTTCACACTTTTCAATACTAAAATACAAATTTGGTGTGTGAAATATATATTGTACATAAATGAAGCACTGCACATAAAATTGTACATAAATGGCTTTCTACTATCCATATCAAAGCAAGTTTTCAATATGCTGTACCACTTCTGATGGAAATCAATTTCCTCTCTTCACAGTATTAGGTGATTTAATAGCATCTTTGTTTTTCTCAACCGTAGACACTATGATACTCGGCATACAATATGCAATAGCCAAATTTCAGATGTTTGTACCATATTTGTACTTTCCACCTCTATGGTGATGCTGACAATTTTATTTGTTGTTTCATTCTCATTAACTTTCCCAAAACTCATAGTTAAATTTTAAAAAATTTAAGCGAAAAAACACATCAATTGAAAATTCAGAGTTATAGTGTGGATTCTTTACCGAATAGTAACAATAGGCATACTGACTCTCATGGACAGTCATGGTCGAAAGAGGTAAATGAGTTAGTAAGCACAATCATGACTAATCGAACTCAAGTGATATTCCAGACAAATATTGTATACCAAACGAAAATTTTCATGTCCAAGTTGTATACCAAGTTGGATGTGTTTCAAAGCAGATGTATACTACATTACAAATAGTAGAAATGATGCCACCTGTATAAATTTGCATAAAAGAAGCAAATTAGTTCACTTTTTATATGTTACAGTGACTGTTCCGTAGTATTTCATAATTACCAGTTCACCCAGTTTTTCACATTTTTTCGTCTTTCGGTAGATTAATCACATTTCCCTGTTTTCAGTTTTTAGCCTTTACTAAAGAAAGTGTTTACCAACAATAAATGAAATTTATTAAATTTCTGGAATTTAAATTATGCAAATTGCATTCACCCACCCTTACTTACTGATTTTCAGCAGAATTTTCCTTATTGATCTGAATCTTCTTAACCTACTGTATATATTGTGGAACCTTTTATAATGCTTTGTCAATAATTAATTAGTTTATTTTACATCAATAAATGGTACATCACTATGTTAATCCACACAGTAGTATTTATATTAATAATGCATTTTCCTCATATTTAAAATTAATTTGATAAATAAAAGCTTTTCTTCTCTATGCAGTATTTTCTCAGTATAAAAGCGTAAAAAAATTACAAAATAAAACTATTCAAAAAACATAAAATATAGAATTTAATCATTTTAAATAACCTGAGTCATGCGTTATGAGATGAGTATAAGTAAAGGGAAGTTTTTTTGAAATAATGCAATTTCACAGCATGAAAATCTCCTATTTTTTCATATTTCAATGTTGGCAGCTGTGATGTTTTTCTGAAAGAGATAAAATATTGTCACTCAATGCTAATGTTTAAAAAAGTCTGTATGGTTACTTATACCTACATTTTTATTCTCTAATTATTCTGTTGATTTTTGTCTTATTATAAGTAAAAAGACTAATAGAAAGAACACTTAAAAGGACTCAACTTGGGGAAGGTAAATTGAAATTGTGTGTTTTTATTGCTATCCTAGTAACAGATATATTTGAAAATATTTCATCTTAAATATGAAGCTAATTTTTTTGTTGATAAATTACATTGTAGTTGTTAAACAGCATTGTCTTCACCCACAGCTTGCATTTGTTCTGTAAAAAGAAAATATTACATTTGGAGATATAGCTTAAAAATATAAAGAATATTTTTTTACATTGCCATTTTGAAATTTATATTACTTTATTAATTTCCAGAACAACTGGGAAAATCTGTAAATACGACATTTGTAAGGCCAAAGATGCAAGGTGATTTTTTGCTTTGTTTAGAGACCCTAAATTATTGCTTTTATTGGAAATGGGCAGTTTGCTTAAAAGGACTATTAATTTCGTTTTGGCATTTTGCATTGATTCACTACGAGTGTTGTTTCACTTTTCAAATTGTTGCCATCAAATATTATCGCCCTGTATTATATATTTAAAGAAATTAAATAATAAAGAATCTACATAAATATATATATGTTTCTCGCCTTGTGATAAAGCAACGGTACCTAGAGCCGTTAAATTTTGAATAACATAATCCTCCTGTGAATATGAGCATCTGGTAGCCCAAATGTGGAATTTGTTTTTATTATCGATTTCATATTTTGTAAAACTTTAATGAATTTTTGATTAACCAACTCAGGGATTTCTAAGCGAGCAATGGCAACGTTGCACAGGGAAAACATTTTTATCTCTAGTGCGCAAGACTGTGTATTAGAAATTCTAAAGTTATGCTCATTTTAAAATTATTTTGCGATGTTGGAACTAAATTTTATGGTTTAAGTGCAAAGAACATAATATTTAATAAATAAAGGAGACGCACAAAATGTTAAAAAAAAAAAAAAAAAAAAAAAAAAAAAAAAAAAAAGCTCCTTTAGACATAATTTAATATCTGAAAACTTTCTGTTTCCCCCTGAAGTCCAAAGGGCCCATTTGCCCAAAAGGACTATTAATTTCTTTTTAGCATTTTGCATTGAAATGTTGGTTCACTTTTCAAATTGTTGCCACCAAATATTAGTACCCTGTATTATATTTAAAGAAATTAAATAATGAAGAATCTGCATCAATGTATGTTTCTTGCATTGTGATAAAACAACGGTACCTAGATGCATCAAATTTTAAATAACATACGTTTCCAAAATAAAATGTGGGCATCTGGAAGCCCAAATTTAGAATTTGTTTGATTATCTATTTCATATTTTGTAAATTTTAACAAATTATCTATTAACAAACTCAACAATTTAAAAGCGAGCAATGGCAACACTGTACTGAAAAAAGATTTTTTTTTTTTATCTCCGCACGCAAGATTGTGTATCGGAAATTCTAAAGATATGCTGATTTTAAAATTTATTTTGTGATATTGCAGTTGAACTGAATTTTATGGTTTAAGTGCGAAAAATATGAGATATAATAAATAAAGGTAAACACGTGAAACGTTTAAAAAAAACTTTGGGTATATAATTTAAAATTTGAAAGCTTTCTTTCTTTAAATAAAGGGGGGAAACCCCTTTATTTTAATCCCAAAGGGCAATTAATTTCGTTTTGGCATTTTGCATAAAAAACATTAATTATTCGTTTCACTTTTCAATTTGTTGCCACCAGATATTATCGACCTCTGTTATATTTAAAGAAATTGAACAACAGTACCGAGAGCTGTCCAATTTTGAATAACGTAATCCTCCACCGAATATAGGCATCTAGAAGCCCTAATTTGGAATTTGTTTTATTATCAATTTCATACTTTGTAACACTTTAACGAATTTTAGATTAAGAAACTCAGTGATTTCAAAGCAAGCAATGGCAATACTATATGGAAAAGAAGAAAAAAAAAAATTATCTCCAGTGTGCGAGACTAATCAAAAATTCTAATGTTATACTTATTTAAAAACTATTTTTTGATATTGCATTTGAATTGAATTTTGTGGTTTAAATGTGAAGAACATAATATTTAATAAGGAAAGGTAACACGCAAAGCGTAAAAAAAAGCTCCTTAGGGTGCGAATATATGAAATCTTTTATATATATATATTAAAGATAATGGCTTAAAATCTTATATATGTTTAACTTTCAGTAGTGCTAAACTGGATCTGATAATAATCAGATCTGAAAATAGTCTCCTTTCAAATCCCAAGTACTTTCAAATTCTGGGATAGTTTTCTCAAAGTCTCAGTATTGATTAATTTGTTGGTATGTATTGTCTGTTAGTTGTTCGTTAGTATAATGTTTTATTTTTATACTCTTTTAACCCATCAGTAGACCTGACTAAGTCAATAGGCTCAAATTTTTTGGATTTATTAAATAAATCAGTAGCATCAGGGTGACTAAAATCTCACTTCAAATCAGAGTCAGATGTGGGTGGCAAAAAATCACAGTTCAAGCAAAACTGATAAATTTTGTTTTAGGCTGAGTATCCAAAAAAACGTGGGCTTCCTGATTTTCCAATCTCGTGCCTTCTGATATTTTTCTTTGGGGGCCTGTTGAAAGGCAAAATATATAGAGATAAACCATATGCATTTTATAATTAAAAGATAATATGTGCTAAGAGATTTAAGCCATTAGTATCAATACTGTAAAGAAATTCATTCAAGTGCTCTTGCATATGAAAGAAGATCTGCCAAAGCATCAATTATGGAGCTGGTCTTGTTTTGCATTACTGAAGGTAAGCTTATATTTTTAGTTCATTATATCAGTAACATATTTTTCTTAGACAGCAGTTTGGGATCTGTAATGAGAAAATACTGCGTATAATTATCATACCCTGGAGTGTCTTCAATAATTAATTTGTTTACAACATAGTCCTATTGCTATTTATTTCAAAATGCATGTAGGTGATTTTAAATTAATTAGATCTTTATTTCATTAGGGGAATGTATATGTGTAAGAAACTTTTGAATGACTTATTCTTACTGTACTGTATATTGTCATAGGACCAACTACATATAAAACTGGAAGAGATGTTATGTCTGGGAGCAAAACAGATGATGCTAATAAGGAAAATGAAGTGATAAGTTTTTTAAATAAAATTCAGACTAAAAGTAGCGAAGTTTTCAAGAAGCAGCGCCATTATGAATATCCAGATAATCAGTTTTCTGTGTCAGTGAAATCGCCATTTAAGTATGGTGAAGTAGGTAATGTGAAAATTTTTGTTTTTATCGTGATTTCTTAACTTTCTGTAGCATAGAAATTTTATTGTTTTATTTATTATTAGCAATTTATATAATTAACTAAATATTTTATTTTATAGGCATTCAAAAGTCTATGTCGTCATTATCATTATCAACTTTAAAGCAAGCTGAGTGGTTATCTTCTCTCCCTCTTGTTAAAACCTCTTCTGAACTACCATATCCTAAGAAAACTGTCCCAATATTCCCTAACAAAATAGCTTTGAGGCCTTTCAAGCAATCTGTTCTGTATAACAAGCAACATCTTCTAGCTGATGCTGGGTATTTTATGGGCCGAAGCTTTCGCTGTGGTTGGAGAGCTGATGGAATTTATGTTCACCTGGAACCACCTAAAGAAGATACTTTATTAGACAGTAATATGCTTAATCTTTTTTTTTATTAATTTATTTCCAAATCTTTACAAATACATCTATTCTTAACAGTTGCGCTTTAAAGTAGAGTATTGATGCCATTTATTATGCATATAAAAATGTCTATTATGCTGTTAAGTCACAGATTTTCATGTTAAAAAAAAATCTCAGTATTGGATAATCAAAATGTTTTTGCCATTTCTAAATGTCAATTACTTCAGTATTCTAAAATAAACTTTGGTATCATTTTTACATTTTTTCCATACCTTGTTGGCAATGTTCTATTTATTATTATGTCAAGAATCATAGGGACCTTCCTGTTGGCCCTTTAATTTTCACCTTTCTTTTGAAAAGTTCCAAGTTTCAAAACTGTGCTAAATTGTTATTACAAAGTGATATATTATAGAATATATCACTTTTGTAAACACATAAATAATATATTTTCATTCCATTCAATAACCCAGTTGGGGAGATTAGGTATGCATCTAATTAAATTATAACCTTATTAAAATGAAGATTATGTTTTTAAAAGGATGAAAAACATTCATGTAATCTCATTGATCTTGTTCGAATGTCATATATGGTTCATTGTTCTTCAGAATTCACCTTTTTTTTTTTTTTTTTTTTTTTTTTTTTTTTTTTTTTTTTTTTAACCCCCATAAATCAATTGTTCGTTAGGGGTCAGAAAGCATGCTCTGCATTAGTAACTGTATTAATTCATGGAATATCTTCCCCTTCCTAGTTAATTTTCATTATCTCATGGAGATAATTCTGTGCACAAGAGTGCTTGTGATCTGGATATAACTGGAATTCTAGATCCCCCCCCCCTTTTTTTTTTCAAAAGTGTAGGTTTGAGGAATCATATGCACCATGTCATCATATGGATACATAATCTTTATGTTGTAGATTAATGTCTTTAATCAGTTTTTATTAATGTAGAGGCTGCTGAAATTAGTAGGAGTTTTAGAAAGGTTTTTCCGTCAGAAAAGGAGATTAAATATATTCTGTAAATGACATACATTGAATGTACTGATTGTATGTAAAGAAAGTCCACCCCTAAAAAATTCTGCCTTCATTAAGTCTCAATGCAGGAATACTATTCTGCATGGTGAAAAAATTGCTTTCATTGTTTTGGTGAAATTAGTAGGTAATTTGTCAAATGTTATTTCAAAAGATGAAGAAATTTCTGTTAAACAAGGAGTCAGAATTTATCGAGTAGTCTCATGCAGAAACAGAAGAAACTGATATTGTAAAATTTCAGCTGAAATAGTTAAGCAAAATGGGAAACACAAATACTGAGTATTGATAAAAGGATAAATTTTTTAATTTGTTTCTACGGACCCTCTGCCAAAAGGGAAAATTGCATGGGTAATATTATAATGGAGCATAAAACATTCTGTACTTTTTTTTTTCGTCTCCTGAAACGATGGATGCAATATTTTTGGATAAAATATTCTTTCAAGAAAAGGTAATAAAGAGTTTAGAGATAATTTATTAAATAGTTGGACAGCTTGCCGAAATTTTTTATGTTTAATGAGTAATTCTGTTCCTGATAGTAGATCATCTTGAATACCTGTTAATATGCATACTTCAAGATTTAATCTAAATTTAAAGTGTTTAATGAAAATTCACTATGTTCATCAAAATGTCTTGCTGATCATATTAAAATTTCCATTATTTGCAAAGAAAATATAAGCACATCTGTTCCAAAAAATTAACCAACCACTTTTTCCCAAAAAAATAAATGAGCTTGCAACACTGCTGCATTCAGTAGCATGCAAAATCCAGTCCTTTTGCTATGTCTGTACCTTTTTTGCATTGGCCTTCATTATCTCCAACATATGATCTGTGTTTTAAAGTAAACTGCTGCATTGGAAGCTTTATGTATAAAACACCATTCATGTTTTAAAATGCATCTTCTCTGAAATGTGGGGATATATTTCAAGCTGCGACCACAGTTTAATCTTTAAGTAAGACTTTGTAATCTTTAAGTATAAAAAGTTTTTTTATTTATTTATTATTATTATTATTTATTTTGAAAATTTCAATTTTCAAAATAAATAAATAATAACAATAATAATAATTTATGGTTCAACTAGCCTTATTATTTTCATATTTTATTGTTTTTCTTATATCCCTTTCATCTTTTTTTTATTTCATATAGTTTGGAACAAATTAGTGCATGGAAGCAATATTCCTCATTCTGATACCCATGGCAAATCTTTCATGCTCTCTATGACAAAATTGCCAACAACTGCAGATGCAAAACCTGAAGAAAAGAGCATCCAGGTACATTATTTCTTCCATTGCCATGTTTAGTTGATAAACTTTTTTTTATGTATTTATGAAGTTAAAATAAGTGTTAAATGATTATGTTCTTTCTAGGAAACCCTTACTGGTACTCTTAAGCTTCAGTTACAGAATTCAAAATCTACCACTGAAGATGGGGCTCCGTTTTTTGTTCCTAAGCCAGGTGTTGAACCAGTACATGCCCTAGCAGAATTTTTTGAAAATCACTTGAAAGCTGCAGGTAAAATCTGTCATTAGAACATTCTAAATTTATTAGAATTTTCATAAAAGTGTGTTTTTAGTTTTAGTAACTGTTTTTATGTATCCTACCCAAAAAAAAAAAAAAAAAAAAAAAAAAAAAAAATTCAATGGAAAACTCTTATTTTTAATCACCTTTTTCCCTGTAACAAGTTTTTTTTTTAATATAATTGCTGATACTTTGCCTTCACTTTGGTTGATTCATAATAATTATGAGCAATCAGGGCACAGGCCTTGAACACTGATGTAAGAATATCATTTTGTGCAGCTGCATCCCAATTTTGGTACAAAGAATCCCATAACACTCTTCCCCCCTACCATCAGCTTTTTGGAAGAACTTTCAGATTGATGAATTGTTCCTTTTCTACAAAGGCACTATATTCAGAAATATCTGTACCTTTTCTGAATTTTAAACTGGAGCCTGTCATCGAGGTAATGGATTTCCAATAAGCATCATATCAACTAAGACAGCACTCAAAATTTAAATTTCAGTATGTAACAAATTAATGTACATATTGTTTTGAATAAATAAAGAAATGGTGTTTAAAAATTTGTACAATGCTTTTTAGGTGTTTCGGTGCTCAAGAAAATTATCTTTATTAATTTACTTTTAAAAGTAGTTTACCATTCGATTTCATCACATTTATCATGGGGGATAAAAGGAACTGACAATGAGAGAAGTAAAAATTAATGAAATCTGTTTTTATTGTTATTAAACTGACATATAATACCTCTTGAAAAATAAAGAGATTCAACAATAGTAACCGGTATGTAATGTTCATCACATACTTAGTACAGCATATAATGCCTTTGTGAATCTTAATTAATCTGCAAAATATCAAATTCTTTGATCTTGCAGCTTCAAGATTTTTGATTTCAAACTCATTTTAGCAGTTCGTAGCAGAGATTTTGAATGCCAGTATATTCCTAAAATCATCTACTATTCACCTGTATCATGTGCTATTTGCCTATAAACTTCCAAATACCAAGGTCTTATAATGCTTCAGAAATTTTTTTAGCGGGATATGAGATACTAGAACTGTTAATTATTTGTATAGTATTTTAACTGTATCTTTTTTGTTTTATATAATTTGGAAAAAATTATTGTGCTAAAGCAATGTTCCTCGTAATGTATTATAACATGAAAAATATTTCATACTGTTCATGGTAAGTGTATTTTCTGCTTATCTGCACCCCCTGAAAAGTCAGGAACTTGTTATTTACTATAGTACAAAGTCCATAATCCGGAATGATCTATAATACGGACCTCAAAGCTACAAACTTTATGCGCATGCGTAAACGCATATACATGTGTATGCGATATAAGCTAGGCTAAAATTATCTAAGGTATTTCAGTTAATGTTGCAGATTGTGCTATTCCTTAATCTTCTAATTGGATTCAGCTTATTATTTTTTGCAGACTGTTAGAACAATTTTATAAAAATTAAGCTTGAACTTTTGATTATGTCAAAAAGAGTTTCCAATTTTGGAGCTGCCAAAGAATCTACGAAGCGAAAGCATGTTTCGATGTCCATTAAACAAAAAGTGCAAAAAAATTAATAAAGGCCTCTCCATCTCAAAATTATGCGAGAAGTATGGCATTGGAAAGTCCACTATACATGACACAAGAAAAAGGAACTTTTTGAATTTTTTGTGGAAGCATCTTAAACAACTTACATTGAAAGAAATGTTTAATAAAGTAAACAAATAAATATTAAGCTTTTTTTTTTTTTTTTTTTTTTTTTTTTGTAAATTTTGATACCCTTTAAATCATAATTGTTCTTTATTTCATAAATTATGATTTAATATTTTTAATTGTATAATTTCTGCATGCCATCTTACCAGATTTAAATTGATGTTCTTTAATCCGGAAAAAACCCTAATCAGGACTCGCCGACAAGTCCGGATTACGGACTTTGTACTGTACTTTATTCCCGAGCTAATGAACAAGTAGCAATAGCCATTTTCTCAATGGCAATACACTAAGAATTCCTTCTAGGAGCAGTCAATTGATAAAATTTAAAAAGCAAAAAAACATCTGTAATAAATCACAACCTTGTTTCAGTAATCCTTTTCCCCCCATTCTGTTTCTCCCAATGTACGCATTGATCTGTTTTTGCTTAAAAATGGAAGAGCATTTTACAAACCTAGCAATTGTACAACTTCGTCATTGTGCACCGGCCCAAGCAAATATATGCCATATGCATCCCTGGGTTGCCATAAATCCTTTTTGCCAACATCATGGATTGCAACATAATTGTTTTATTGAGGTACTGCTTTACTTAATGAATAGTTTTTTGTGACTTTTCAGTGAGAATGTGGGTAAACAAAAAGCACCCAAAATTGCATCAGTACTTTTTGCATATATTTCAACTCTACTTGTAAGTTTTAAATTACACTGCCCTTCAGAAGTTAAGGAACAGCATGGTTTTTTGTATCTAATTTGAAAATGAAGCAACATAGAAACAAGAAATTTAGAGGATATATTTAGTGTATGTGACATAGAATATTTCTAAAGTTCAACACAAACATGAATTATAACAAAAATTTTACTCCAAGACTGGTAGAAATCCAGTCTTGGAGAAACATTACATCACAGTGTTTTGAGGGAAAATGTGTTGGTAACATTACAAAAATGGATTTTAATAAGGAATGTGTCCAACCCTAGCTGCAATACATTGGCGGGAGCAGCAGTCCATGCTGTCAATTAAGTTGTTGATCAGTAAAATGGGAAGCAATGACCAGACACAGGTTAATCCTTGGTCACGCTCATCTAACATCCTTGGAGGAAGACTTAAAGCTGCAACCTGTCTCCCAAGGTAGTCCCAAAGATGCTTTATCGGATTTGGTTCTGGGGATCGAGCTAGCCATTCCATCTGTTCCATGCCATGATCCTCAAGATATTCTCAGCAACCCGAGTTTGGTGTGGTCATACCACACCAAACTATCAGAAGCCTATCAGAAGAAATCCAGAACTAGTAGCAGTGGCATATGGGCCGAGATTTTGAACAAAGATCATATGCATATCTCATACTAGTCGAAGTTCCTCCATAGAACATATGCAGGTCAGTATGAAAACCAAAAGAGATCCTAGCCCAAACCATTAGACAGGTTCTCTTGCCCATCATAAACATGTTGGGCAAGAGAACATGTCTTCTAGATCTGTGACACCTCTGTGTCTTTCGGTCAAGGGGACACAAACAGCTGGTCATTTTGTATACAAACCTGTATTGCACAGGAGCCTGTAGTAACTGAGATTCTTGTTCCTAGCCACTAAATCATCTGCCATGAGCTGAGGCACAGTAATGTTGCCTCTCCTTCGGGCTGAAAAAGCTAAATAACAGTCTCCCAGAGATGTTATAACTCTTGGTCTGCTCTTCCTGAAACATATCTTCTAGACACAGAATCCTTGAATTCAAACAGATTCCATAGTCGGTGAACTACACTACGAGAGACATTGAGACATCTCATAGCATCAGCTTGTGACATCAGTTTCATGCATCTCATCACCTGCCTCCTCAACAAATCATGCAGATGACTTCTCCTGCATATTGTCACTGAAATTGCAAATAACATTTGAAGAACAACTCATGAACAATTTTTGCATTTTATCTCCAACTCCTATATAAGCATTCATTTCTATGAAATAAAACTTATAGCTATTGTTTTTGCAAATATTTTCTTAAACATTGTTACTATCAGGCTTATAAACTATGAAATGAAATATTACGGACAGTTTTTTAATAGTGAGCTTTGAAAACATGCTATTCCTTAACTTTTGGAGGGCATTTTATATATTTAACTACCTGTTGATCATATTTAAATTAAATCCATTTTTGTACAGGGTTGATTCTTTTTTCTCATTTCATTATATTATTAATTTAAAAAGTTTAATCTAATTGTTTCAAATTATAGACATTTTTAATTATTGAAAAAAAACTCGTAATTCTAAATACAGTGCGTCTGTAAAGTCATGGTGCACTTTTGATCGGTCACAGGAAAGTAATAAAACAAGATAGAAATGTGAAATCTCCACCAAACAAAAGAAAACCTCTTAAAGTTTCATACCTATTCAATGCAGTTTGATGTGGCCTTCATTCATGCCGTCACAGTCTACTCCGCAAATAAAAATGGTCCTATCACATTATCATGCATCAGGCCACACCACATGTTCACTTTAGGGCTGTTACGTTTGTACTCTATGTGGGCATGAATATTTTCAGCAGCCCATATTTGGATGTTATGGCGATGAACATGTCCACTAACAGGGAATGTTGCCTCATCACTAAACACAATCTTCTGTAGAAATCAGTTTTCATTGTTGACCTCATGAAGCATATCTGTAGCAAACGCAAATAATTTGGGTCTATCCATCGCTTTGATAGCGTGCAACAGCTGCAATTTGTAAGGGCTTCTTAGGCAACTCTTCCATATAGTCTCTACAGGCTCGTCACTGATCAATGGCCTGCCAAAACAGGGTGTGTCCAACAAACTGCCGGTATCCTTCAACTGCTTATTCCTCTGATTAATGTTATTTCTATGTGGAGGTGGTTTGTTGTACATGCGATGATATTCACATTGCACGATGATATTCACATTATGAATGTATGATGACAATCACAATGACATTGTGAATTGCACGATGATATTCACATTGTGATCCTTTGGTCACGGATTCGAATTTGGCAAGCTACAGGACGCACTGAACTTTCCTCTGTACGGTCCACATTTCGACTGGCGTGGGCTAGGACAGGCTAATCTGTTCCTTCGCAGTTCGTCGTGCTGCATCATCACCTGTGTGTGCACATGCTTGCACATAATACGTCAGAAACTTGGAGAGTTTTCCTTTTATTTGGTGAAGATTTCATATTTCTATCTTGTTTTGTTGCTTTCCTGCGACTGAACAAAAGTGTATCATGACTTTACGGATACACTATATTATATTTACTGTGTAATTAAATTAAAAATAAAAGTTGTTATATCATGTAGTAATAACTGTTTTATTTACAGATCCACTTAATCCTGATGCAGGTTTTCTTAGACAATCTGCGTATGTGTGGAATTTGTTAGTCTGTCTGTGGGGCACGATTGGAGATATAAGTGAGGAACAAGGTAAGAATTATGTCAGTATCCTTATGTGTGGATGTCATATACATGATGTTAAATTTATAGTATGAAATCTTGTGGAAAATGAATTTTACTAATATTTTATTAATATTAGTTATATTTCCCAGTCGAGAGTTTAAAAAAAAAATTAGTCCATTTAAATTTGTGCCGTTTACTGTATTTGGAAAAGAAATAAAATCAATAGGAAAATGAATACTTACAGAGAAGTTTCATGAAAGCAAAAAAATATGATAAATTCTTCACAGAGAATGAAAGTACTTATTATGTTAGTGAGGAAATTATTTCATAAATAATGCATTTATGAAATAATTATGCATTATTTATGAATAAAATGTATTCAGAAATTTTATTTGTAAATAAAGTATTTAGGAAGCGTATATCATTTGAATTAAAATCACATTAGGGTACTTTCCTAAATATTTAATTTCTGATTTGTATTATATTTAGTTAAACGGCAGCACTTTTAACAGTTCAGTGTCTTGTAGGATTTTCTTGTGTATTGTTTGTATTTTACTTAATATTTATTCAACATATTGCTTTGTTAATTTTATTTAATTTCAGTTTTTAAATTGAAATTAATATGAGTTAGATTTTCTTGTTTCATATATGAATATTTGTTTGGGGGCATGAAAACATCTTGGTGCTGAAAAAAAGTATAGTATTCATGTAGTTCAGTGTATGTTTCCAATCTTGAGTCAGTACTCTCATGCTGTAATCATTATTAATGTATTTTAATTTCTCATATTCAAGCTGTATCAGGGTTCGTACGGTCCTTAAGAGTCCTTAAAAGTTCTTAATTTTTTTTAAATCGATTTTTGGTCTTTAAAAGTCCTTAATTTCGGCCGAAATCGTCAGAAGGTCCTTAATTTTAATCATCTGAAATTTCGTTCTTGTTTTTACAACTGCTATTTTGAGTGTGAATTACCATTTTGGAGGAATATTTTTGGCGATTCACTGATAAATATGATTATCTTTTGAATGAGTTCATGGGTTATAATTTGTTCCTATTTCTAATAGAAAGGGTTGGGTACTTGGAGTTTCTGAGCAAGAAGTGAAACATAAGGATTTCAAAATTTTTTCACTTTTTTCTAATGAAAAGCTCTTAAACAACTTTCACTTTTGTGGATGTGAATAAATTTAACTAAATTAATGGTAGTATATTGAAATTATATTTAGGAAATTACGTTAAACAATTTTTTTTTTTTTTTTTTTTTCCTCTCTCGTATTATGAAGAGACATTACTTTCCGTTTTGGCTATTTATTATACAGTATTTGGAATATGAAAAATAAACAAGATAATAAATGTTATAAAGCACAGTTTACAAAACAATTCATACCAAAAGCAAAATAGCTATGTAAATAATTAAAAATTTCTTCCTTTCAATTTTTTCATGGTAAAAAGTTTTCCCATGTAATTGTTTCAGAATTATTAGAATATGCATCAGTTTTCTCTATAAAATTAATTTCACACTTTTTTCAAACTATTTCTGGCCTTTTTTCTATTACAGAATTGGTAGGGCTAATTTTACTTTAGGATTTTAGACATTGCAACTTGGAAAGTTTAGAAGGATTTGAAGGCAAGATTTACAGACCACACAATTCTAGAAGGCTCCATTAAAATGTGACAAAATAAAAAAATAGCTTCGTTGTATTAAAACATAATGGATGTCTTTTACAGAAAATTTTATGATGAATTTCATACGTTGTGAAGAATTTTTGGAAGGACACTGAAAATATAATGTTTGGATGTTGTACTTCTGATGCTAGAAGTCTTTTTCTTTTTATCTTCTCTTTCCTGTTTATCTTCTCTTTATTTTCTCAACTTTTCACTAGATACAGGCATCGAAAATACCAAAAATGTTTCTAATCTTTTCGCCTGGACAGTCATTTATAAAAAAATAATTTTTTTATTAATAAAGAAATTGAAAACTGACAATTTAAAAGATTCACATTATACATCTCAATCAATCATACACAGGGCTGGCGCTGGGCTTTTCCCCACCTGATGAAATCTCTTTGGTTCTTAAATTCTGCTGCTTAATGCTCTCCTAAATTCTGCTTCCAGTCCCGGTCCTAAATTCTAAAATGTTTTGCCATTTCTAGATTTTGTTGCTCGGCGTGTCACTAAAATCTAAAAATTCTGCCTCATCGGCTCAAACCAATCCTTACCACACATAATTTCATATTTATTCTGAATGTTCATATTACTAAAGAAATAAAATTAGCAGCTTTTCTTTGATATTCTAAATGAATTTGTTTTTTAGAATAACAGAAATATTTAATTCCAAAAATTCTGAAGTGCAGAGGAAACATATTGAAAGAAAGTGAATACATATGCAAATTAATCAGTTGTTTAGAATTTTAGCATTTACTATAGCTTTCCCTTTCCGTTTCCTCACCATAATGCAAATCAGATAGTTTTTTAACTGAGATTTTTGGATTGTAAGACAGAAAGTTTTTGCTCTCCACTTGGATGTTGCCTTAGTTCCTGCTACATCTGATAATTTGTAATTATTCATCTTTGCGTTATCATTGCTAATATTTGAATTTGTTACTACAATAAAGTTACTGAGCCACCTTAGATTAAATTTAAATTGTGTAGTCTTTGAACACTAGTCCATATTTTTTGTTTGAATTTGCCTGTTCCTGTTTACTTGCATCACCAAAAGCTGTAGTTTATTTTGTCAACATAACATAAGAACGTGCCTGTATGTTCATAGTCTTTTTAAATAAGAGGTATATTTAAATCTTTATGTGACGCTGTAGTTTCCTTTAGACATAACGATAATTTGCTTCATGTCTATCAGAGGTTTTGGATTATTTAACTTTTACCAGATCACGTAAAACCTCGTTAGGTACACTGTTGAGAGACTACAAGTTAGGAGATAAAGCACGCAGAAACTAGTGGGAACACTAGCTTGTGTACTGAAACAGATTTCTAATTGTTAGAAAAGATGTTTAAAGAGAAAAAAAATTGATATAAATTGGCCAAAATGTCTAGGAACACTTCGAATTAAAACGACACATAACTATTTTGTTTTGTAACTTTTAATGTGTAATTATCCTAATACTGTTTAAGAATCAGTGTCATAAATTACGTGTATTTTAAACTGTAAAATGTTTTAGATTGTGATTTTAATAATGGCCTGTAAATCTATAACGACTGAGGGTTTTAAATACCTAATTTAATTTTTATAACTAACTGCTCATCTGTAAAAGTTATCTATGTGTATTAAAAGCAAGTTATTGCTTTTCATTAATCATTACTGTGGCACAAGATAACGCACGAAAATGTAAAAACTATTATAAACTTTTCTTGCATCTAGGAGACTAAAATAATACAAAATACTTATCACCACCTCTGCTATATTAGTGGCTTATTGGATATTGGAACCTTAAAATAGATTAACCAAGTTACAATCCCAGAAACTGTATATGAAGGTATAACACTTATAGAGACATTAGAATTTTTTTTTTTTTTTTTTTTTTTAAATGGGAACAAATGAAAAATGAACAAGCGCCTTCACCGAGAATCGAACCGCGGATTTCTGAAATACATGCCCAGAGTGCAGACCACCACACCAAGAAGGCGGGAGAAATTCCTTATATACACCCCATTTTAAAAGGCGACTGGGGTTTTAGGGAACCCAATCGCCAAATCCTGGGTGAGGAGAATCATTATCCACCATCCTTTTAGTTCGGGCGTCTCTGTAGAGACATTAGGTATTTTTTGGAAGCAGGAAAGATGAAAAATATGCAGAGCCTTCGCCGGGAATTAAACCACGGAACTGTCGAATATGAGACGAGTGTGCAGAACACCACATCACGAAGACATGCCCAAGAAATGCCGGGGAGAAATTACCTACCTAACAGACTTTCAGGTTTTTTTTCTGATCAACAGGTCTCTCTCTCGGCTAGCAACAGCTAATCTTTTGTTACAAATCATACTGATTATGATTTTAATTCTCATTTTAACATATGCCATTTGACATAAAATTTACCTGCTATTTACTAAACCTCTAGACTGAATAAGTACATGGCAAAATGAGACATAAAAGAAAAAATCAGCATAAAGCTGTTAATAAAATTGTCATGAAATGTCCCCAATCTTCTTTCAAATAGTCCAACTTTATACGTGTAAAATATTTAATACTATTTGAGAAATTTTATAATGTGGATTTCATTCTCAAATTTGTTTTAAAGTTATGTTTAATAAGAATGCATCCTACTTACGGATCTATTTTATTCTTAGAATGTTATTACAAAAGTGAAATTCAGATATAACCTGATTGAATTGAATTTTTTTAGCTTCTATTGGCTGATAGGTCCTTAATTTTTTTCATTAATGGTCCTTAAAAGACCTTAAAAGTACTTAATTTCCATGTGCAGAAATGTGTACGAACCCTGTGTATGTATCAATCAGTTTGTTCAATTAACTTTAAGATTTGTATATGTATTTCTTTTTAGTTTGGCTGTTACTTAGAAAATTATCAAATATTTAATTTATTCAAGATTTGGGCTTACGTTATTTAAAAATACTTATTATTTCAGATGCTCCAACTACTTTTCCAGAAGATACTCCAAATTATTTGTCTGAAGGTACTTCAAATTATTTATCTCAAATGGCCAGACGAGAAGCTTTGTCTCATTGGTTAATAAAGACTACAGGAAGTATTATAACGAGTGAAGTTGCTAATTGTTCTCAGGTTACTAACTATCATTTTTATTTATTAACCTGTTTACTTACATAGTTCTCCTTTTCATGCATCTGTCACCAGCTTTTCATTATGTGATTTAAAAGCTGGTAGTAATGGGTAATGTACAAATACATACGGTAGTAATGTATAATTTTCAGTTTTGATAGCCAAATATACGAGTAAATGAAAAGAATAAAGTAAGTTGTATTAAAAGTAATAATTATTTAATAATTAATAAATTCATATTTCAAAAAGCAATAATTACAGACCTGTTTGAAATATAAATTACACAATATATGTATTTTTTAATCTGCTAAATTCTTCAAGTTCCTGTCAGAAGTAGTATGCACAAATATTTTTCACGATTTTCAAGAGATACTATTAGTGAGAAAAGAGAGACTATGCAAGTAAATATAGTTTACTTATTATATACTTTTATGCTTTAGAATAAAAATCTAAATGAAAGTGCAGTGATTTATAATTAGTGAAATGAGCATAGAACCTTGTTAGTTTTTTTATTTGGAAATAATAATTTAATTATGTATTTACAGAGAAATGGCTATTTGGCAAAAATTTTCCTCTATATGAGTGGACGTCGTATCTCAGATGCTGTCAAATTAGCTCAGGAGAATCATGACTATCGATTATCACTGTTGTTGTCTCAAGCTGAGGGAAACTTACTTGTCCGCAAGCTCATCAGCAACCAGCTCTTAAATTGGGAGCAAAATGGAGTATGTTGGTTAAACCATCTTTATTTTTCTTGCATAAATTAAAAATTTTAATGTACCCAAAATACTGTAAAGTATAATGTAGCAACCGTGTATCTGTTCATATATAAATATTCAGAGAATAGCTGCTGACCCTCATTTGATTAATTTTTTAATTAAATGTAAAATTAATTGGAAGCATTTGAATGTAATTTGTAAAAAAAAATTGGTTAATTTACTACTAAAAGGTATCTTAGAATATAGAATTTCTTGTAATATTTACTGTGTGCGGAAATGTAATTGTTGTCTGTAAGATAGTGCGGAAATGTAATTGTTGTCTGTAAGATAGTTGCTGTGTTTCTAAAATTAATTTTTTTAAGCTGTTTCATGCATATTCTTAGAAAGAAAAGTTTGACAGATAAATTTCAAAACTTATATTAAGACATAAATATGTATTATCATAATCAGTGTAGTAGTTTTAAAAAATGTGCAATAGGTTTCATTTAAAAAAATTAATTTTAAGTTGTCCATGCTCTTCAGCATGTTTTAAAAAATCAGAAGAAAATAAGTGCTTTAAAGAAGCACATATTCAGTCAATATTTGTATTTTTATATATATATTGTGCATATTGGTGCTTTTTAATGCTTCTAATATGTGCATGCTTACTCTCAGAATCTGCTAGCATTTTTAATTTAAATTTAATTACTTTAAAATAATTTAATCTCTTGAAAATCCGTATAATTCAGATAAATCCATTAAGATGATTTTTTTAAAGATTTTCTTATAATTCTCATATCTGCATTATTTTTTAGGCATATATGTTTATCAAGTATAACAGAATTGCCCTGTATGCACTTCTATCTGGAATGCTGATTTGGGAAAATGTGTTTGAAACAGTAAATTGTTGCAAAAATCTTGATTGGAAACAAGCTTTAGCCCTTCATTTATGGTTTGTTGTTTCATCTGTACCTTTTATACAGTAATACAAGTGATGTAGTTCCTTTTCACAGGAAGACAGTTATTTGTATTAAAGAAATGTGATTTATTTCAGGTACCACTGCAGTCCAAATTCAAGCATTCAAGATGCATTAAAGAAATATGATGAATCTTTTCAGGTATATGTAATATAATTTGTAATTTTTAATCATGAATTGTATAAATCATGTTATGAAATTATTAAAATTTTTAATTGCTGCATTTTAATTATTCCATGCTGCTGTATAATTTGTAGGGTACAGGCTGTCATGGCAAATATTCTATACCTCCTTATCCACCATATATAGACATCAAAGATTTAACAAAAGATGTAATGGATGATTCGGAAATGGTATATGATACATGTTATCACTTATTGAAGTTGTATTGTGATCGAAGTCATCGTTTGGACCAGTTACTTATGCCAGAAACATACTCTGAAGATCACTTAGATTACAGATTGAGGTATGTAAATTATGATTTATTAAAAATATTTGCTCTATAAATTATCTCAGTAAAATAGTAATTAGTGTTCCATTATTTAACTGCTTGTTATATTTTAAGATTCTAAAATTTTGAAAAAGTAACTCATGTGTGTGTAAAAGAACTATACATCCATCCCTGTTCTTAATTTTTATAAACCTAAATTCATAATGAAACAGAATCTCTGATATTATGATTATTAATATATGTCAAATGATGTCTTAAAATGTGAAGTTTAGAAGATATTCTTTTACAAAAACTGAAATTGATATTCAATATAAATAAGAAGAGTCTGTAGAGATTTGTTTTACTGGTAAAAATATCCTTTAGTTGTTTTATTATTATTTTATAGCTTCTCCAGTTTTTTAATTGAATTACTTATTAGACAAATATAATTTTTCCCCAGAATTTAAATTTTGGATTATTTCCATAAATAGTTAAAATGCATAAAATGCTGGTATGTCTGTATTTTTGCATTTTACACTTTAAGCATTATGCATGTATATTTGGTTTTGTGGTTATCTATGTATAAAATTCGAACAGTTGCCTTCATATGATTCCAGCATTCTATTGTGTCTGTAGCATGAAATATTTTTCATGTTGAATGGAGTACATTAATTTTTTAGGCCTTTAAAAATATCATAAAATAATTTCATGGGGAATGCTTACTTAAAACTCGATTTAGGGAATGAAAATGGAACATCAAATTAATAGAGCAAACATTTTCAGAGGGGTTAATGTTAGTTTGGAAAAGCTGTATTTAAACTAACCTTAACCAACAAATGAATCACTTTTTTAAGTATTTGAAGAACTTCTTGAATCATCTTTTTCTTAATTCTTATCTTACTAACAGAATTATGCAAATTCTTGCTTACGTGTATCTTAAAAAATTTCTCATTTCTCCCCTATTTTGTTTATTTATTCCACTTTTTTTTTTAAACAAAATATAAAAATGTCCCTTTCATTTATTGGTTTTTGCCAAAAAACATTTACCTTGTCATTAACTTGGTTAAGTCATTAATCCATCTTGTCATTATTGTGTTATACATCCAAAAAATTAAATTAAATTTGAAAATATTTATGAGTGCTTTCTTTCATTTTGCCAGTTGTGGGATTCAGTTCATTTGCACTGATGTCTTAAAATGTTTTTAGTTGAGAGAATCAGTTATAAAAACTGAAATGTAATATTGATTTATGCAATTTATTGGTATTGGTGAGTAATGTTAATGTTATCACTTATTTAGAGGCAGCAAATCAATTCCTAAAATTTTCTGAGTACCACCTGTGATTACTACTAACTTCTGGAAGATACCTCTGATTTATTTTTATTAGTTATAAATAAAAAAAATTATGTTAATTCATTTAGCATAATTTAGTATTATATTCTTTTAATAACTGGTTCTGTTTTTTGGAATATTTTCTTTAATGACCACTGTTATATGCAGTTCTGATATCCAGACTTGTCAGGACTTCGGCAATTCCGGATTTGGGATTTTTATCTAGTAAGATGGCATGTAGAAATTTAAAAATTCAAAATATGAAACCGTGATTTATCAAATAATGAAACATGTATGATCTAAAGGGTGTTAAAATTTACAAAAAATGCCTTAATGTTTTCTTATTTACTTCATTAAGCATTTCTTTCAATATAAGTTGTTTCAGTTGATTTGATTTTTGTGCTAATAGTTTTAAACGTAATTTTTTGTTCATTTACAGAGTTCCATATTGTTCAGGTCCTGTAATTTCTGTGTCGAGAATTCCAACTAACTAATTAATCGAAATTTTTTCGTTTTCGATAACCTGTCTGTCTTTTTCTTCACTTTCAGTAGAGGATCTTTCTGGATCTAGAACATACTACAGATTTCGCCATCCGTTGATTGATGATTGGGGCATCATCAATGAAAAACTTCTGTTATATCATCTTCATTTATAACCGCTTCTCCAGATTTCTTTACAAAATCCATTAACTGTAAAATTTTACCTTTGGTTTACGATATCCAAAAACCTTCAAATTTGCGGCTATCATTTTTATCATCCTCATCATGAAATATGGTAGCCGTAAATTATGCCAAGCATTTTTAAAAGTATCTGGACACACATCCTCCCATGACCTTGCGATGCTGCACACAGCACATTTTATGCTAAAATATTTTTTTATGCTACTTTATATTTGCATTTCAATGTGTGCATTATTACAATATCCATAGGCTTAATGATGGGCTTATAATTTGGAGGAAAGAATAATATGAATACATTATCTTTCACTAAACCTTTAAGTGAAGTATGAGCTGAACAGCTGTTTTCAATCAGGACAATTTTTGCATCATCAGGTAAACGAACTGCAAATCAAATGTTGCCAAGCCTCGGGTATAAATTGATTTTCAAAACCAATCATTCACACATGTCATCCATGCTCTTTTATTTTCACAATATATAACAGGGAAATGCTTTATTCCTTTAAATGCTCGAGCTCATGTATTTTTCTGATTATAAAAAGTTTATACTCGTGCGTTCGTGCAACATTTGGGCGTGCTATAATTTTCAGTTTCGCTTTGGAATCTTTAACACCAGTTAGGGCTTTTTCTGTAGAGGTTGCCAAGGTATTTCATGGTAAATATTGCCAGAAAAGCCTAGTTTCATCAATGTTGTAACTCCCTTATACCATGGCGATATTTCAATTTGGTTATCCAACCTGTCAAATACGTGCACTCAGTTTTTAAACTTCATTTCTTCATGAAATATTTTGGCTTGAGCCATACTGTACATGTACTGTATCCATCAATGGCATGCCCTCGTTGTATGACAAAGTAATTATTGAATGGGTCAGACAGTGTCACAACGAGGGCATGCCATTGATGATGTACTGTATCCATCAATGGCATGCCCTCGTTGAGACACTGTCTGACCCATTCAATAATTACTTTGTCATGATCATCACTTCTAGTGTAATGAATAATTTTCTGTTATTCATTGCGAGTAGAGTGTCGGAATTACAAAAAGATTCAAAAAATTCCTTTTCTGTTTTCTTATGTCATACACAATTGACTTTCCAGTGCCATACTCGTCGCATAATTTTGAGACGGATATACCTTCATCCATTTTTTTGTAACAATTCAACTTTTTGTTCAATGGACATCGAAACATGCTTTCACTTTGCAGCTCCAGAATTAGAAACTCTTTTTGACATAATTGAAAATTCAAACTTTAATTTTCATAAAATTGCTGCAATAATAACAGCCTGCAAAAAATAATAAGCTGGATCAAATCAGAAAGTTAAAGAACAGGGTAATCTTCTATGGTAACTGAAATTCCTTGGAATCAGTGAAGTATAATTTTAGACTAGTTTAATAACATCCGCTATACATTATTACCTAGGTATCATGAGATTGGTGATTAAAGACAAGTTCTTCTGCTAAATTTTGTATTGCTTCTATCGCTTTCTGAACCAGTTAAGCCTGAATTGTGTTAATTTAGTTATTTATTATACTTACGTCAGTTTTTTGCACATGCTTAAGGCTAATCTGAGTTCTGAAAAAATAATATTTGTGCATATAACTTAAGACTTATTCATGGCCGGCACTAGATATCTTATCACCTGATGCAGTCTCTGGTGGTTCTAAAATTCTACTACCAAGCACCTCCCTAAGTTCTAAATTTTTTCCGCCCCTGAATTTTGGGTCCTAGTGCTACGATGTTCTAAAAATTTGGTCATCCCTTAATTTTGCTTCTTGGTGAATCTCTAAATTCTAAAAATTTGTTCGTTCCTAAATTCTGCCTCTTGGTTGCAACCATATGAGCTCTGTTGCCAGTTCTGAGTTTATTTGAATAACAAATAAGTTATTCTTAATTCAAATAGCGCTAATTGTAATTTTTTCTTCCATGGCTATCATTAACAAAATCTGTTTTTAGCATATGGAAAGAAATTTTTGTTTGATTTTTCCTCATCAACATTTCTTAGCACATTTAACTTCAATCTGTAATCATCGCCAAACGTAGTGCCAACATAAAAAGTTACCATACTTTTTGCTATTCAATTGCTAATATAAAAAAAAAAAAAAATTATTTAGGCATTGGTGCATGAGTCATTACTCAAGTTATCATGTGTTGATAAACATGCAGTGATGAAAGCAAAATATAATAATGATTCGCGGAGTTGTCGTCAGGGCTGTAAAATAGTAGTAGTGTAAAATCAACGATGTTTCTATGTAGGATGTTTTGGTTTGAGATGTATGCCAAGCAGATGTGCAGCTATGTAGCCAAATTATTGATCACACAAATTTTTGCTAAAATGATTTTCTGGAATAACAAGGTATTTTATTTAGTGCCAAAGGGAAATTAAGAATCGGAACTCTCCACATGTTTTATTATGGGGGGAAAATCAAATGCGTATAGGTAAAGCATACAAAAAAAATTGTTGGTGGCTTTGAGGTCCGGATTTCAGACTTTGTACTGCATATAATGAATATATATGCATGTAATGATCTGGACATTGATGCATAAATATAATACCAGCCATTAAAGCTGGTGCAGCAATTCCTGTATTTTTAATGCAGCCATAGATAATTTAGCACAAAATTTTTTAATGAATTTTCACATTTGTGAAATAGGCAAGTTATCTGAAAAATGAAAGAGCAACTGAGACAGTAAGCTTGCAATGCAGAGAAGTGAGAGGAGGAATGTGGTGTGTTTTAAGATGAAGATCCAGTTTAGAATAAATCAGTTTTAGTTCACAGAACTTGAAATTATTATTGGCTGAAGCATTATTTAAGAATGACGCAATACAGATTAATTTTACAAGCAGTTACTATTTTTAAAAGGAAAAAACCAAATTAAAAAGAAGAATTAAGGGTCATTACAAATTTAAAGTTTAAATTTTGTACATATTTTTTATCATAGATACATGTAAATCTTGATTTTCGTACTTAACCTGATGTGTATCTTTTTTTTCCCCCCTCCCAGTTGGTTATTGCAGCTATCCTTGTCATCAATTGGCTATAATATATCATCTGATTTAATGTTCACATTGCATATGAATTTTGCATCACAGTTGGAATCTATTAGCATGTGGCCGTGGGCAGTATTTGTTCTTTTACATCATCCTGACAAAGAATGGTAATTACTATAGCTGTCTAAATTCTTAATCTTCTTTTTTAATATGTAATATTTTCCTAATCCATTTTTAATTTCAAGGAGAATTAAATATGTCAAAGAAATCCTGTTACGACACGTGTCACTAGACCAAAGTACAGAAACCGAAGAAAGAGAGAAATTTCTTGTTGAGCAGTTATTAGTGCCTGTAAAATGGATCTTTGAAGCCAAAGTATGAAACGTTTTGCATATTTGTTTAAAATAAATAGCAATTACTTTTTTGTGTGGTATTTTTAAAGTGAACCTTATTTTTATTTCAACTTATCAATTTGTTTTAACTTTTAGGCTGTTTTAGCTCGCAGTCTGGGTAAACATGCTGAAGAGGCTTGGTATTTGCTGAAAGCAGAATCTTGGAATGAAAGTCACAGTATTGTTATAAAATACCTTGCTTCAGATGCTGTCATAAATGGTAAATGGATTTACGTGTTTTCGCAACCACTTTAGTAGAAGTTGCCAGATTGTATGTGCCAATTCAATATTGCCAGAATAGTTCTATTAATCAACCATACTCATAGTAATTCTCTAGCAGCATTGCCATCTTCATATGCGTTTATTTTGTTGTATTCTGAGTTCCAATTTATTTGCAAATTATGATATTTTTTGCTTTAAATTTGCCAATTTTAACATCTGCACTTGAGGAATTTGCCAGTAGTGGAAGAAACCATAGTAAAATTTCTACAGGAATACAATGCTGCAAAATCGACAGATTAAACAATTGTTTTAAATTTGCTGTTAAAGACATGACCTTGAAATTAGGATTATGTCATACTAAATGCCATTTATGATGAAATCATTGTTAGCCTGAATCTGTGTTGGGCAGTTTATCTGATTATCAGTCAAAATGCTAACGTTGCAAGATAATTTTTGCCTCATCCATCACCACCACAATCACTGAAGTTGTCCTTTCCCATTGATTTCTTCCTACTGTGTTACTTCAAGAGTGTAGAAACTGTGTGTAGAAAATTAAGCCTTTGATACTGACTTAATTGTAAAAGTTATTAAGGGGCCAGTCCTTTTTAGTGTATTTACTTATCCATCTATCAATTTTCTAAATCATGTATTGGCATAAATGAAATTAACATACTCTGAAACTGTAAAACTTGCATATGTCTAAAAATATATTAAAAGGAGCCTTACTTGCATTGCTTTATATTTTAGTCGTAGCATACTCAAGTGGCACTTGTGATTATAGCTGTGTTAAAAAAGTTATTTTTTGGTTTCCTGATCTACAGGGTTCGTAGCGGTCCTTATAAGTCTTTATACTTGAAAATAAAATATAAAGGCCCTTATAGGTGCTTTCTTCATTTTTCATTTCTTTCATTTTTTTTAAAGCCCTTATTTTTTTGTTTTTAGTGCTCCCTTCCCCCCCCCTTTTTTATGAACACGGTTTTTTTTTTTTTTTTTTTTTTTTCCCCTCCCCTGTACCAAAGCCAAAACTAAATAAACAACTTTACTTCCCAATATGAAATGTCAGATGGTGAATCATACTCCCGGAAATAGCTTTTCCCCCTTTCTCTCTGCATTAACATAACCTTTGGTGTGCACGAAGAGTGAAGAGTACAGACAGGTGCCCATTGTTCTATTGGTCAAAGAATTGCGAAAGCAGTAGAAAATTCCGGTACATTCGGCATTGTTTTCCTCCCACCCAAATACTACACACGTTTGAATTTCTATCGAGATCTTAATAATTTGCATTCTCGTTCCGCTTGGTCAGTTCATATTCGTGTTTTTTACAGTTCGCTGCAAAACAAGCAACAGACCCCCCCCTCTCCTCTCCTCTCCTCTCTTTTTTTTTTTTTTTTTTTTTTTTTTGTTGTTGTTGTTGTTGTTGTTGTGGTGGTTGTCACTTTCCAATCTGAATTGAATAGGACTAAAAGTTCTGCGGTCTACCAAGCAAAGAATGATTCTGTTCCAGAAATTTAACGCCATCTGTTGAAAATTAGAATGAAAAGCACCCCAGTTATTTAGTTCTTTATTCTTCCAATACCGGCAGCTATTAATTCCGATTGCATAATATCACGAATTACCGCACACGTATTGCGCAATAACAGTTGCGATATTTCGCAGAGATAATTAATTTTGATGTTCTGTCCGAGATTTGTTTTTGAACACTTAAGAGTTTTACTGTGCTTGCTAAGCAGAATATTTTTCAGTTCCATTGGTTTATTTTTGTATGATGCACATATCGAAATGTCAAAAGCATTTATTTAGTGGAAAAATCTAAAGAGTGGCTACAGTCTACCCCTCCGCTCCTCTTTTTCAAGTTACGCTCGACTGTCCGAATATTCGCCATTTTCCAAGTATGCGGGTATTTAAGCTTTTCTATAAAGGATGACTGCATGAAGCAATTTCTGTCTTCGATTTCAGAAATGTTCCTCTTTTTACTTAAATTACGTTGCTTGCATGCAATATCTTTAAGGAAAAACTGATATACAATGAAAATTTAGAAAATGTTCAGAATTAGATTTAATTATTTAAATATCAATGTGAGTGGAAAAATAAATTGTATTGATTATTAGGTTCCCAGCGAATACAATAAATATGCCTTATTATTTATTTTCTCTATTTTTAACTGAAATTTCATCATTAAATCTTGTAATATAGTTTACTTCTGCACAGTTTTTTTTTTCTCTCATTGTAAACTAGTTCTGTAAATTGAACTGTTCTTTAAAATTTAAAAAAAAAAAAAAAAAAAAAAAAAGTAATTATTTTCCATAGTTGAGGTAATGCTTATTCTCTCTTAATAAATACTGCATTTCTCATATTTTAAATTACAAGTCTAATTTTTAGGTTTAATTTATAATATCTAATTTTTTAAGTTTAATTTATAATTATCTAATTTTTAGGTTAATATTAAGGTTATGCAGTTGTGTATAATGTAATTAGACAGGTGCTTATTTTTTTTTTTTTTTTCTTAAAATGTGCTTGAAAAGTGCTTATAGGTGCTTATTTTTTTAACTAAAATGTGGCTATGAACCCTGATCTACCTTTAAATTCTGATATGTTTTAACCATTCCCTGTTTTTGTTAACTTTAGTTCTTTAAATATGCATATAATTAAAAAGAGAAATAAAAATGATTGCATATTGGGAGGGGTGAGCCATGCAGTTCATCTGTGTGTCTAGTTTTACGGATCATGAGGAATTTGCAAAGTGCGTATGATTGTCATTTTAAAGAGGAATTTTGTCTTTACAATAATAAATATTAAATTCTGGTTTATAACTATCATGAATGTTGTAAAAATCCATTACTTTCAATTTTTCTCCTTTTAAATTTTATGAATTTCTATAACTGTTTCTAATGTGAATGAAGATGGAAAACTTTTGTTTTATTAGGAGGCTGAATTCTGTTATTTTTATTAAGAATGTGTCTAATTTTTTAATTGTAAAAAATCATATTACAAAAAATATGAAATCATGTTGAGCAGAATGCTGTTAACTATCAAAGCAAAATGACAGTATTATTTTTATTGTTTTCCCAAATGGCTCCTCTTTTAAAGGATAAATTTTCATTAAATGCATATTACATAAAACTCTTTTTACTGTTATCTGCTTGGTGTGTTGTGCATTCAATTTGTCAACACACATTAAGGAAAAAGGAAGAAAAATCTCAGTACCTTTTTTTTTTTATTTATGCAATGCCTTATAAATGAAATCATAACATTATGCCTATATTACATTATAAGGCCAATATACTTGAATGAAATTATGATTTCAAACTATAATTCTTAATTTTCATTAATCATATGTGTATGAAATTATATGAAGTGGAATTAAGATTATTTTTAATATATTACGTACTTCAGTTTCAATTTTTGAAATTAGAATAGCATGATTTTCAATAAATAACCTCAAGATGTCCTTAAATCATTAGTCTGCAGTTGAAATTTGATTCTTCTTTCTCTCTTTTTTTTTAAAGTATTGTTATAATATAGTTTTCTTCTAAGTTTTTCTTGAACTTATGAAACTTGTTGCTGAAATAGAATTAAGAGGCTTAATCTCCACACAATGATGTATGTTCACTTTTGCTCTGGATCTCAAATGAGTAAATCTGAGCAATATATTATGAATGTTCATTTGTTTTATATTTTCTTAGTTTATTAATATAATTGCAAGATAAAGTGTGTTCTGTAATAATTTTAGATCAATGTTCTTATTATTAATCTTATTGTTATTATTCTTATCCTTACTTTTAATATGGATATTTTGCTAATGATCTGTTTTTATTTCATTTATAGAAGATTATGATTATCTCATGAAATATTTAAGTGAATTAGCAATACCTGAGAGAAGTTGTTTTATATTAGACTGGGCTAGTGGTGGTCAAGTATATCTTGATTACATAAATATGTGTCAAGTTGTTCAAGGAGTGTTATCAGTAAGTATTTTCTGTAGTTTTATTTACCTTTAATTAATTCCCTTGATACTATACATCTTTATTTTAACTTATTTCTCTTCTGTTGTTTAACATATTTATAGCAAGGAAGTGAATTTTAAGTAAGCAAAGCTATGCTGTAATTTTATTAACTTTAGTGATTGGCATCTTGGTGTAAGACATGTTAGATAAAAAGTATCTTATAAAAATCAAAATTCATTTTTGTTATCTAAATTTTGTTCTGTTATGTTATATTTATAATATCAGTAATGTAATTAAAAAGTTTTATTAATTAAAAAAGTATTGTTATTGTTCTTTACCTGCAAAATCTAAATGTATTTTTTTTATCATTTCTTGACTGTATTAATCATATTCAAAAAAGTTTATTCTGTTTATTGATGATTTAAAAGTGCTGAGTTTTTAAAATATAATTAAAATGTTCTATTAGTGTAATTTTAAGTTGCTGATTTAAGACAAAAATGTATGCAAATTGTAAAATCCGGTTATAAAGCGTTCAGACAAGACAGGAAAGGTACATGTTTTGAACTTCAGTTCAGGTTTCTATTATAATGAATAGTGCTCATCTTAAGATTTAAAAAGGAAAGATATTGTCATAGAAGAATGTTCTTGTAACAAATGCAAACTTGTTTACATTGCCAGCCTATATAGAGATTGATGCATGAATAGAAAGTAATGACAGCTTTAGCATAGGGATTCAGTTTAGGGAAAACTGTGCTGCTGACGTTTTATATAAACAGTCTTTATTTATTTCCTAGTGTTTACCTCATTTAACGGCAGAAAAGATGTTTAAACAGTAATTTCATAAAGGGATACACTATTTTTATGTGTTTTTACAAAAGAGTTCTTCAAAAACATTCCCTCTAATTCATCCCTCTTTCTACTTATAACATTTTACCCTTGTATTGACATTCTTTGTGTATATAAATAAATGATAATTTTCTTTTCAATAAATCTTGATTGAAATAATTCCTAAAGTGCAATTTTTTCATCTCTTTATGAGTATTTTTGTCATTTATTTTTGTCAAATCTAATGTAAAAATTAAAAGAAAATGTTAACACAACTTATAGGACTTATAATGCGCCATATTCATTAATCGATGTGGCTCACCAGCAGTTGAGGTGTTATGCTGCTAAACATTGGTAGTTTGATCTGGGATCAAATTCCTATGAATGGTTTGGCTTTATGGTTGGTTTTCCCTACATATGACTTGGATATGAGCCAGTTTCTCTTTAAACATCTTCTGCAAAGGCATCCTTCTAAATGAGCAGATAGGCCTTAATCAATTAACCTAACCTAACCATTAATCCATGCAACACTTGGTCCCAGGCTGTGTGGATGATTTTAATTCTACTATATTACATTTTAAAAGGTCTTTTCAAAATTGTTTTGTGAGCAATAAATGAAGCATAATGTGAGGATTTTTTTTAATTAATATGCTTCAAATAGGCACTTTTTTTTTAATATTGTACTTCAAACAATTTTTCAGCGAGAAACAAGTGCATATGATTTGGAGAAATTCACTCCTGAAGTTGTATCATTGTGCAACAGATTATCCAGCATTCCAACTTCTTCTTTGAAAGACAGGTATGTATATTTATGTGTTGTTATAATCTGAGATTTTGATATAAATTTATTGTATTTTTATATTTGTATAAAAGCTAAGCCAACAGCTGTTTTTCATTGAAATGAAGTTGTGTTTTTTTTTTTTTTTTTCCCCTAATATGTCTTAAGCCTCTTTTCCATTAAATTGCAAATGAAAATAGGAAAACAGTTTATAAAGGAAAGTTTCGTTGCTAAAATAGAGTTAATGTTTGTGGTGTCTTCCCCCTCCCCTTTTTTTAAAATTATTATTATTATTCAAACAAGAAGTTGCTTAAGAAAAGGTATTTTTGATAAAAGAATTTCCCATATTGAAAATGTTCCGAGTATATTAAAGGAATTCTTTAAGCAGAAGAAGTCATTTTTCTGTTATTATCTTCTCATGGGGATCAATTTAAAAATTTGAAAAACAGCATTTTACAGTAATTATTTCATTTTAAAAAATACATACTTTTTCTTCCCTCTCCAAGCAACTTTCTAACTGTTGCTAGATTTAAAAGCAGTACTAGAAGTTTGTAACTGAAAATTTTACTTCCTCAGTATATTTAATCTGTCTCCAGTGTCAACTCTTGAGAATAACTAATTACTGAACAATAAGAGAGTTAAAACATGGTTGGAAAAATGAGGGAATGTGAGTTTTCAATTGCATTTTAATTTCTGTTATAAAAATGTAGCCAATATTGTTTTTTATATTTTCCTATCAAATTGCTATTAATTTCTTTCATTGCAAGAAATAATGTAACAGTTTTAACCCGGGTTTGATCGCGCTGGGTATCTCATACCCACTCCCTCCATTTTATTGCTGGTTCTCTGCAACCATATTTTAAAAATAGATGATTTTTCTTATAGCTGCCCCTAAGGTCATAACCTTGGAAGGGAAGAATAAGGGGAAAAATTCTAAAAGTTGATATCTTGTAATCGCCACTCCAGGGCATGTCACACCCAGCACGAGCATTACTGTTACAATTCTGAGTACTGGTAGACGCATTGAAATCGTACTCTCATTCTATTATGGCGCGTTTTCGAAGTTATGATGAAGAAATGTGACATTTAAGAAATTTACTTGATACTGTTTCTTTGGGTGAAGAAAGTCTTGAGGAAGGTAATGAGTTTTCCGATAATAAAGAAATTTACATTGAACAGGAATTTTCACCTGAAATCTAATCTGATTTAGAGGGCGATCTTTTTGATTCAAATGAAAGTGACTATTTTATAGGAAATAATATAAAAAAATTAAGTAAAATGAAGTTCCATGAAAATGTTAGAATTTCTGCTAAAAATATAATTAAAATGATTACCAAATGATATGATAATTTGTGGATGTCGTGGATGAAATAGCTGCAAGGTACTCAACAACTAAAAAACGAGTCGTTGGCCTACGTCTTTTTTTTATTCCATCTTGAATATTGCTGCAATAAATGCACTCATAATGTTTGTTATCAACAAAGAAACCACCGACTGGGCATCGATCTCAAGCTCATTTCTAAAAACAGTGGCATTTCAAGTGATAGAATATTATAAGATAAGAAGTCAATAAGCAATGCTTCTACAAAGCCTAAAAGTAAAACTGGGCAACAATGAGGCCGATACACCTACTGCTAAGAAGGTAAAGACGACATATAAAAAATGTGCTGAATGCAGGGCCAAAAAAGACAGAAAAGCTAAGTTTGTCTGTGAAAAATATGAAAAACATGTATGCATGGAACATATGGCATGCAATTGCTGAAAATGCGCAAATTAAAGGTAAAATTTCTAATATATGTTTAAAACTATATTTTCTCTTCCATGTTTTTGTTCTTTTATATTTTGTGCAGACTTAATGGTAGAAGAGAGGAAGAAACCGCCCTGGGTATGTTATACCCAGCGCGAGCAATCTCCCATTCGTTTTTCTCGCGGAGTAATGCGGGGTTAAGAAACAGAATGTTTGTAAATTACTTATGGGCTTATTACTTTGTGAAATTTTGCTTATTTAATTTCTGTGTGAAAAAATCAGTTATGATCCTTTAGCTATAAAAAGTCTGTCATGAAATTAATAAACATCTTTAATTCATTTTTAAATTAAAATGTGCTTAAATATTCCTGTATTTTTTGCTTTATTATGGTATATATGTCATTGTCAAATTTACTTAAACAGTATTTTAATTTTTCACATTTTCTTCCCTTATTTATCAGACTTAGTGTTGCTGAGATGGCAAAGAAAACAGGAACAATTCTGCGATCCATTGCCATGTTACAAGTAGGCCGTACTAAAGACAGTAGTTCATTGACTAGATTAGGCAGTATCTTGAAAAATCTACCGATGCCTCACGATTATGCAAGTTCAGAGAACAGATTTATAGAACATTGCTTTCTTGAAGAAATACCGACTGAAATCTAAACTTTTTTAAGGAAATCAGACAGTTTTCTCATGTGCAAGTGTAAAAACATTTTGCACCTTACAGAATAAACCATTTTTACAAGGAAAAGAAGCTTTGTTGTAATTCAATTTTTTAAATTTTAAGTCCTTTTGTTTCATATTCTTAGGGTTAAACCGCCAAGAAAAGTATGTGAAAATGAACTGTAAATACTGTAATTATATGATCTTATATTTGGAATATGTTTTGAAATGCACTAGTAAATTTTATTCTCTCTCCTGTATGATGTTTGTACTTATTTTGTTAACTTAAAAATATCATTATTCATAATAAATAAACATATTTAATTTTAAAAAATGATGAATTTTTTCACTCTTATACTACATAATTTTAGTATTCCATTCAATATGCTCATTTCAGCTGGTTCTGAATACTTAGTTGTCAGTTTCTTTCTTTAATTAATTTTCTATGTATGCCTTTTAGGCTTTTTTGAATTCATATGTAAATGCCCTGTGCAATGTTCAAAATAAATTAGAACATGTTCATTTCAGCTGTTTCTGAATAATTACAGTAGTTGATTTCTCATTCCTTGAATTAATTTTTTATATATGCCTTTTAGAATTTTTTCAAAATAAATCAGACCTATCTGAAACTTTCTGAATATCCCATAGCAAATAAATATTATTTGTGTATTTAATTTTTAATTATGTTTAATCTTTCCAGTAATTTAGACATGTTATTGTCTAATATTTGATTAATCAGTATGGTGATGACTCACACAACAGATGTCCTGCTTTACAGACTGCATTTAAATGTTATCATCTTACATTGAACCCCCCTTTTGTCTTAAATTTCCTATTTATTCAGTAGCTCAAAAGTACAAAAATTATATATATGCATAAAACAAGCAGAGTAGTAAGCAAGTAAGTTTATTTCTTAGTGCAATACAAGTGCAATGCAAGTCTGATATCCAAAACTGTCAGGATTTTGGAAATTTTTCAATTTTAGATTATCAGTTTAAATCTAATAAGATGACCTGCAGACATGCAGCATTAGGGCTTCACTTATTGTTTAAGTCTGATAGAATAATGCTAGCACCCCTTATTAACGTATGAGATATTAAAAAAAATGTGTATCAAATGCAATTAACATTGAGGTGCCAAAATTTTGAGAGCTAATATTTTAAAAACCTACTCGTGTGATTTTTACAAAACTTGGCAGTTTGGCATAATTTGAGTCGTAGAATCAAAATATGGAAAAAAAATTGGCATGGCATTTCAGAAGAAGTCTGATTTTGTATCTAAATACCTATATTAGAACAATGCTGTATATAAACCGAATACGTATCCTAAGTCATGCTTTCGAGACATGAAAAATGCAAGTTGAATATCGTCAATCGGCCCAGTAGAATGGGAGATATAGAACTGTTCTCCCCACACACAGTGTACGTGTTGCAGATTAATAGCACAGAGATTTATTCCATTAATTTCTTAAACCAAGCTACTGTTTCACATTTAAGTATTAATGTATGCTTTGTTCAACTTTAGTAGTATTATAAACTTATCGTGGCTTGTATTCATATAGCAGCTCCAGTAAAATATCTTGTATTCAGTTATCAGATGTGTGATGATCCACTTCTTCCTTCTTCCCATGCGGTTTCTGATGACAATGTTGGATTTCACTTTCTCTGACTTGTGAGCCATATGTCATTTGATATAAAATTCTTTCTAGTATTTAGGGAATTAGCAAAAAGTGCTGTAGAAATACTTTTTAGCTTTACAGCTTGAAACCATTCTAGAAATGCAATTTCAACATTTCTAATTTTTCTATCTTTTTTGCACTTTACATTCTTTTATTAGTTCTTCATTAATTATAATTCCTTGTTTAAGTAAACTGCACAGTGCATTTAGGGATATTACCAATTTAAATGTATTTTTTCTCTGGCTGCTCACTAAAATTCGATAATAATGTATCATTTTTGTTTAAGTCTTTTCACTTAGGCATTTTTAACGTGTTGCGAGTTACGCACACAGCAAATTTAAACCATGCTTCCACTGCTTTATTCAATTTCAAATTTCATGTTTTTGTCGAGCAGGAAGATTGCTCTTTGCCTGTTTAGTCAATCTTCTGTTTCGTGATTACGAGCATGATAAATGCTATCGGAGATGCCAACTTACTTTACTTCTTTGAACTGCTTCCATTTTCACAAGATTCTATTCTGTTCATCATTTTCGAATATTTTTTTTGCAATGATATTTAAATGCAGAAAAAGACACTAATGTTTTTCAAGATTTTGTCAGAAGTGTGTGTGCTTTACAGTTATCTAAATAAATAAAGCTACTTTGTTTATTTTCAATTAGGTATCTCATTTCAAACGAAAATCAGTAAAAATACTACTAGTCATTCATGAGTTTTTTGCATGTTAAGTTAGATATAAATTTTTGGCACCTTTCGAACATTGAGATTTTTCTATTTTGTCAGTAACCAATAGTCTTCTTAATTTATAATTAATAATATTAGTCTATGAGACAGTCCAATTTCGTCTGTATGATAAATTTCATATGGCTTGGGTTCTTTCAGCAGCCCAGGTAAAATATCTTTTTATCCAGTTATCACCCGAACGATGATCCGCCTTTTTGTTCTCACCATGTATTTTCCAATAAATAGTGTTGAATTTCTCTTTTTCCAACATTACCTGAGCCATCTGTCAGCTATTACAAAATTCTCTCCTAGGATTTTAGCAAATTCCACAGCTTTTATAATGAAAAGAGCTCTAGAAATATGAACATTTCAATGTGTCTCGACTTTTTGAGCCTTTCATGTCTTATTTCTTCATCAATTATAATTCTTTGTTCAAGTCAGTTGTACAATGCTATTTGGTAAATTCCCAGTTTAAATGCAATTTTTATCTAGCTGCTCTTAACAAGAGTATCAGAATCTTTTAACAGTTTATCTTAAGTCTTTTCATTTGGCATTTTCAACATGTTACAAGTTAAAGGTGCAGCAAAGTTTTGCTTCATGACTAATGCTTTCTTTGCTATTTCTTCACCCTACATCCCTTTCTAGTAAAAGACTGTTAATGTATAGTAATACTTAGAAAAGCATTTCATGATCTTTTTATATAGCTCTGTGTGAAAATAATACGTCTAGCCCAAAGATTTTGAATGTGGGAACTTTAAAGATCTGATACTGAAGTTTCATTTCCACCTCCTGTCGCCAGGTGTTCAACTAGAACTCTCATTCATTTACAGTGTCTCAACAGCAGGAGTCTGCAATCTCGTAGCTGTCATGTGCTAATCCAATTTACCAATATGATTCAGGTAGAACGCACAGTAGAATTTATTTGAAACAATTCAATTCCCACAGCAATGCATGCAGAGTTAGGGAATAGAAGTCAAGAATACAGATTTAGAGTTTTATTATACATTAATTATGCATCTTTTAAACATATTTATTAAAATAAAAAATAAACAACATACAATTCCAACATAATAACAAAACAAGGCACACAACATTATTCACTTAAATATTTTCATCAAGAGCAATGCTAAATGCAACAGTTTTATGTAATCCAGAATTCTGTGTTGTTACATTTTCTGCTATTTCAGTTATTTGCCTTTCAGTGCATCGCGCAGAAGCCGATATTTCTTAAATTTGGGATAATATTGTTTTTAGATTTGGTAAATTGCTGGATAATATTTCAACACTTTTTTTTAAATGTGTGCTTTAATATATTCACCATCACAATGAGCAATTACGAAAATACATTAATCGCTTTAGGTTTGGTTCCAATTGTTTGACAAAAAATATAACTTGTTTCTTATATCCAGAAACAGCTTTTTTTTATAATTTCAAGTTTCTCACCAGAATTTTGAAATCTGGGCTGATGTTTAGTTTGAAAATGTCTTTGTATACTTAATGTGCGACATAACACGCATACAACACGTTTTTATGTACGAATATATATTCATTCAAGAATCTTGAAAACCAAAAACATCAGGCTTCTTTTTTTTTAGTGAGCATTTAATTAAATATGTGAGTATGAATTGTCACAATAATTAAACAAACAAAAACAAGTTTTCACAATAAAATTAAGAGCATGTCGTAAAGTTAAAATATATAGCGCACAACATGCATTGATTAAAATCGTACTCGTGCATCGACGCGCCAAACCGACCGAAAGGCAAGAAAATGCGAGATTTGAGTTGATGTAGAGAGGAGAAACAGGTCTTGGTGTCTGTCTCCATTAATTCCATAATTTTTCACCAAGAAAGAATTATTAGAATCTAAATGAAATTTTACATGTGTGAGTGCAACATAAGTGACTACAAAATCGAAAAAAAGGTATCATGTTTTATGTGCCCCTAGGCTGTCATGATTCCATAGCTGAATATTAGAGGAATTGGAAGTCGAACCCGAGGACATCACATACCATCACATGAGCTTTGAAAGCGGTGTGCAGCTTAAAGCGAAGGTAAGATTGAGGCATTCACCACGAGCCCTGAATTTGTGGGGCTCCCATTTGTTTAAAAGGAATTTTTTCAAAACAAGCTTAATATTTTACATAACAGAATACCTGATTCAAATTCAAAACTTTTCAAAAAAAAATTGCCATTTCTTTTTAATTTTTTAACTAAAATTAAGTGATTAAATTTGATTAATTAAAACTTTTAAATTTTATGTTTAAAACAAAATGTCTGTGCCTTCTAAAAACGATGTCTTCTAATGTATGGAATTAATCTCATTTTATATAAATGTTTCCATTACATATACATCCTTAGAACTAATACCCTCGTGTTCATATTTTTAAGGCAGGTTATAAGCCACATATAAACACATTTTATGATTTTACTACTGTGTAATTTTTTGGGGCTAAATTACTTTATGAATAATTAGGAAATAAACTAATTTAAAACATTGAAGGAAATTCAAGTAAATTTGAAAATCTTTAAATCTTAGAAATTTTTTAACTTATTTTAGCTCATGACATATTATTAATTTCTGTTATTTTAGAGCATAATAAGCATTGTGTTTCTGATTAGAAATCTGCCTCAGATTTTCTGTTGTAGACCATAAAGTTGAGTTTTGAATTATTGTTTTATCAAATGAAGGAATGACATTAAATTTGTTTTATTTTTATTAAAGACTGAGTTTCTATTATCGAACTGATTTGCTAAGAGTTTTCTTTCTGTGGAAAGAAATCAGCTTGTATTCATTGCCCTTTTAATTTTTCAAATATTTATACTTTCTTTAAATAGTTTTATAATGTGCGACACAGATGTGAGAAACAGTAATTGGTAGTGTGAAGCATACAAATGTCAGAAGTAATAGATGCTTTAGTAATTTAAAATTAGGGC